GTGGATGTGTGTGTGTGCTGTGTATGTGTCTGTTGTGGACCAGCCAGAAAAGGATCAACATGTTTTTAAGTTTGGCAGGGATCTTTTCTTTTCTGGCTGGATATAATGTGTCAAATGATCTATACGTTAACTTAAATGTTTTGTTTCCCCTTCTCTGAAATCAGGTCTGCAGTCTTGTCCTCAAGTTTGATTATTCTAAATGGCCCCACCAAGTAGGCTTCCAACTTGACTCCTTTTCTCAGTTTCTGTTGTAATTTTTTTTTTTCCCCCCAGGACAAGGTCCCCCACTTTAAAGTTGTCCTGGCGTCTTTCTTCCATCCTCTTGCAGACCTTTTCCTGTCTTTTTTTGATATTGGCCTTGATCTCTTTGTATACACTTTACTGATCCCTCAGTCCCTTGCAGATCTCCTCTCTTGTCAAAAGGTTGTGGACTTTGTCCTCTGTCACCTGCCAGAAATCACAGTTAAAATTTAGAGGGCACAGATGATCCAAATTCAAACTCTTAAAGGATAGGAACAATAGACAGTCTTACTTCCTACTACTTTGGGACCCCTGAGGGATACCTCGTCTCCCTTCCAAACATCATATAATAAGGACTGTGTTTTGTAGTCAGCTGCTTTTTTGTCCACCGACCAGACACGTCTGCTGTTTTGCTCTTTAGTGGATAGGCCCCTGCCCATTTGGTGAAATAATCAACCATGACACATAAGTACTGGTTGCCACCATCTGTTACAGTGAGTTTACCCAACAAGTCCATCCCAACCAGCTCAAGAGGCTCTGTTGCCTGGGGAAAAACCAATCAATCATGAGCATTACAGTAGCCTGTGACAGAGCCTAATGTTGGCTCTCTTGGCCTGGCACTAGGGACTCTGAGCAATCTAAAGACATGAACTTCTTGAAATTAATGTTTGTTCAGATAACTATTTTGATATACACCGATCAGCCAAAACATTAAAACCACTGATAGGTGAAATGACTAATATTGATTATCTTATTGCAATGCAGTGTTCTGCTGGGAAACCTTGGGTCTTGACATGTATGTGGATGTTTTTATTTTTATTCATTTATTTATTTAACCTTTATTTTACCAGGTAGATTGGCTTGAGATCAAATGATCTCTTTTACGTGCAAGGCCTGGCCAAAATGGCAGCACAAAACATAAGACACACATAAAGAAGAATGCACAGACATAAGAAAAAGAGAGAAAGGCCCAGAGTCCTATGGAGGGGTTATGCCCTACAAATACAGTCCGGTGGGGGAAGGGGGAGGAGAGGGCTGGATGGGGGCAGAGAAGGTGGTAACAGGGGATCCTGAGGAGGAAAAGTTCATGTTAAACAAAACAGTGTACCACAATACACACTAAAAGAACACTTATGTGAGGATGATAAAATACTATGCAGTAAAACATTTACACACTCCAAAATTTGTTTTAAAATCATTAATGGTGATAAGTTCCTGCAATTTTAGTGATTTTTGAAGACTGTTCCAGGCGGAGGGAGCAGAGTACATGAATGCCCTCTTCCCAAACTCAGTACGAGTTCTGGGGACAGAGGCAGATAGAAAGTCCAGAGAGCGGAAACTGTATGATGGATTTGATGTAAAAGTGAGGTAGCTGCAGAGGTATGAGGGGAGTAGTCCTATAATTGCTTGATAGATGAAGGTGTATCAGTGGAGAAGCCTGCGAGCAGACAAGGACAGCCAGCCTACAAGTATACATAGTACAATGATGGGTGAGTGATTTACAGCACTTACTTGTCACACTCCACTCACCCAAACACAGTTGCAGATCAAGAAAACTCCCTCATGGCAACAGCACTCCCTGATGGCAGTGGCCCCCCCAGCAGGACAATGCACCATGCCACACCACTAAAACTGCTCAGGAATGGCCCAAGGAATGTGACAAGGAGCTTAAGGCATTGACCTGGCCTCCAAATTCCCCAGTTCCCCGCACGACTGAGCATCTGTGGGACGTGCCAATACCCCAGACTACTGCCTATCCAAAGTGGGGCCTCTATGGATTGGACATAGCTCTGACATATCAAGGTATGGACATGGGAAGTCTGGGGATGCCCCATGGTGTCTGGCACCAGGCTCTTCACAGCATATCTTCACAGCAAGTCCTGTGGGTTGCGATATGACATACCAGCATGTCCCACAGATGTTTGGTCAGACGGGGATCTGGGGAATTTGGAGGCCAGGTCAAGGCCTTATGCTCTTTGTCAAGTTCCTCGGGCCATTCCTGAGCAGTTTTTGCTGTGTGGTGCATTGTCCCGCCTGGGGGGACTACTGCCATTGGATAGTGATGTTGCCATGAGGAGGTTTGCTTGGTCCGCAGTGGTGTTTGGGTGTCATCCACATGAATGCTAGGACCCCAAGTTTCCCAGCAGAACATTGCATTGTAACAAGATGATCAGTGTTATTTACTTAACTTGTCAGTAGTTTTAACATTTTGGCTGATCTGTGTATTACATATTGAAAAGTAATGGTAGGCCTTTGCACATAGTGACACAGCTCTGGCTGTGAACATAGTATTTTCCCCTTTTCCAGCCCTGCGTTCCAATACCCATACTACCATACTATTTAGTATGCCAGAAAAAGAATTAGTGTGTCCCAATACATAGTATGTTAGATGCAGTATGCCAAAAGTACCAGTATGTTCTACTACATCTGGTCATATTTTGCAGTATGCATGTCAGCATGCTTCTTTGGCCATTCTGACCCACAATCCTTTGTGCAGCGGAAGTTACGTCACACTGACTGAGCTGCGTGTACAACCAACGCCCACACTTCCTTTCATACATGGTTTATTTAATTTGAGATACTAAGACACTACATATTAGGACTGCAATGATCTGATTATATACTGTCACATATCATACAGTTTTGCAAGAACACAGTTACAACATTCAACTTTATTGTGATTATAGTATAATCAGTGTTAGGGTTCAACTATGACTACAATATAGAAGATTCTACCAGTATAGGCAGTGGGGTAAGTGTGGTATAAATAATGAATGCATATGACTAAATATGAATACGCTATGGGCCAGGTATGAGCAGTATAGACTAGTAAATATATAAATAGTAAAAGTCAAATACATATTAAGTAATGTAGTAAGAATGTGCAGGTATGTTACACTACAAATAAAAGTAATGTGAATGTAAGGCTGCTTCACGTGCAGACAGAATATAGTGCCAGCAGCTGCACAGCTGTAAATATATTCAACATCAAACATCTGCCAGCAACAGAGAGCTGTGTGTGAAGGGGTTAATATGCCTACTGGTGACTAGTTCAATAGACAGGTCACTAATAATAGGCTTGGGACTGTTTATTAGAACCAACAACATACATGACGACATAACAGCAACAGAGCTCTCCGGCACCTCCGACGGTATGCACGACTCTGGCGAGCTCGACGAGAGGAGATTTGCTTCATCTCCGAAGTACAACAACACAAAATATTCAAATGTGGCGCTACGGACGGCGGCGGAGGTGAGCAAGAGGGTCGGAGTTCAGGGAGCGATGTGATGGCGGATGTAGTGTGTCCCAATAGTATGCACACTGCATGCATACTGCATACTACGCTACATACTTTTTAAGGGCAGCTGCAGTACATACTAAAAGTATATAGTAGAAGTATGCGGTTTGGAATGCAGGGCTAGTGTTTCCCTGCTCCCCCTCCCCTTTCTGCCTCTGTGTGTATGTGTGTCTTTTCTCTGGAGGGCATGGCTACTGCAATCAAGCACCTGGCTGAACTTCACACCTGCAACTCATCTCCTCCTCATCAGCCTCAGTGCAAGAACCCAAGCTTCACCTCCACTCTTTGCCAGATTATTCTGTCTACTCCAATAGTAGTTATTGTCTCTAAACTATTACTAGTTATAATATTTTCTTAAGTGCTGTCACTTAGACTTTTCTAACATGATTCTTTCCTGTGTCCAGATTTCGTCAGTGTCTGCTCCTCATGTCAGCATACTCCAACAACCAGTTTAGAGAGGAGTACGGAAGAAGAACCACTTTGTCTGCTCAGTCTGCCTGCCCCCTGCCATTTTGCATCAACCTGCCTGTCTACAGTCTCCACCTACTCAGCCTTGATCATTCAGCCTTCAGCCCAGCACCAAGCCCTACTGATAAACTCAATGAACTCTTATTTGAGTCTCCTTTTGGGTTCCACATGTTACTACAAACCTCAACCTTCACGATTTTTAAGAAATACACATATAAAATACACATTACACTCCTGTGCTCTACTTTCAGACCTGAATGTGTATTCCACCTCAACATTATGAAAATACCAACTCACCCACTTGTGAATGTCGTCCTCCTTGCCAGGCCAATAGCAGTGGTTGATGATTGCACTGTGGGTTTTCTCCACACCACAGTGTCCACCTAAATGACTACAGTGAAACTCCTCAGCTTCTTCAGCAGTAGAGACAACATTGGCAAGGTGCTTGGTTCATAAGAGTCATCCTTACCCTTTACTCTAAAGGTGTCAGCTCTCCTCTTAATGACATATTTGTCTCTGCTGGTTGACCCATCTGAATAGCGGCAATTCCAGTGTGTTTAACAATGCTGGATGCATTTTTGGACCACCCTATGCATCTCCAACTGTCTCACTAACTCCTCCCTACTCCTTCCTACACTTTACTACTCCCACCTGCTCATACTTAGTCCGTCCTACCTTACTCTGACCTGCTCCTGTCTCCTTCTTCCTGACCTTATGTCCATGGGTTATTAGGTTAAATTTATCCGCTGGCGTCCTCTCGTGGACAACGTAAGAACTACATTTGTTGCAAAGCCTTACTTAATATAAATTAGTGTCGATTATCTACGCCGTTATTTACAAGATAATTTTAAAAAAGGCCATTAAATAAACCCTCGCTTTATTATTAAATTGGTAGCAGGACGAAGTTTATGTAGTAACAGTTACTGTCACTTTAAAACCACCGAGACGGGGGGCCTTATTTGGCAGGAAGTTAGCCAGCAGCATACAGGAAGCCGAATAACGAGGACACAGTGAGGCGCAGGAATTGGCAAAGAGCAACGAGTCCTAACATTGCTCTTTACAACCGCCACAACTCCCTCTGATACAGGTAATACAAACGAAGTGCAACTTAAACGCATCTAAATGTTTATTTTTGCTGTTTTGTTGCGTGTCGGTGGTGTCGACGGTGTGTGTTTCCATTGTGGGGGCTCGACTCTTTGTATCGGAACAGACATGGCTCAGTGTGCTTACATTACTTCCCAGCAGAGTAAAATAATTAGATGGATGTAACTGTTTATAAGAGTAAAGTAAAGGTTCAGTGTTCTGGGCAGTCTGTGTGCTGTGTGTCATGGTTGCTTGTTGTGCCTCAGGTAATTTATATTCCGTCCGCAGCTCTAATACGCTTACAGAAGCTTTGGTAACGCATGAAGGATTTATTCATTTGGATTCTTATGTTACACACACACACACACACACACACACACACACACACACACACACACACACACACACACACACACACCTGGCTGTAACCTCACCTGTGGTTATCTGAAATCTTAACTTGATTTGAATGTATTTGCCCTGTAGGGACAATGCAATTTAACAGTTAAAATACAGAGTATGAAACTTGGGTGCTGCACAGAGAGGTCACAGCTAACCTATTGATCTTCCTATTGATCAGTCCACATGGCATGGGTAAGAGGGGTTACTCAGTGGGCCCTTCAGACAGGAGCCAAGTGGGAGTGAGTCTTGTTAGCATTTTGTTCAGGCAGCTGTAGAATATAGAGGGACGTCAGTTTTCTCATGATTATTAAATTACCTACAAACATCTGGTATTTTTTCTGGCTAGAATCATGAATCAAAATTTATGATCAGCTCCAGACATGTTTTGAGACGTATTAAACACTGTGCTTGGAGTTTTGAGTTATTTATTGCCGTGTAAAAAAAGAGAGAAGCAGTTGTTGGCTATAAAAATCCTCCATCTCAGGCTCCCCTTTTCAATGCTCATATACATATAAAACAAACGTACAAATAAAAAGTGAGAATCTAAGATACAAAGTAACAGAATCAGAAATATATAATCAAAATAGTCCATGAATTAAATATCTGTCAGGGATGCATGATATTGTTTTTCAGTTGATACTGATAATAATAACATGCTTCTCATTATTGACAGATAATCCATCAGCTCAATATATATCGTGCATCACTGATATTAGGGGTGTAACAATACATCGATCTGAATCGGTATATCAGTTCAGTGATTAACTATCATTGATGTAAAGTGAAAACCTTGATCAAGATACTCCCCTTTTTTAATTCCCATGCTATGTCTGTGTTACCATTTCCCTCTAAGCAGACCTCCTTTCTAAAGCCTCAAGCAGCCTAGCACCAGGCAGATAATGGCAAGCAGACAAGAAAAATACTATGAGAATATTCACTGATCGATCTATAGATCACAGGCCCCTGAACTGAATCAAATAGAAATAGTATTGTGGTATCTTTGTTATATGTGCAAATATTGTATTGTCATAGGTATGATATCGTATCATGACGATTGATGGATGATGGATGTTTTTCCACAGGAAAAAAAAAACATTATCTCATCATTAAATCTACTTGTTGTCTCTTAATGAAAAATTCAGAATCTTTCAAAATGCAAACATTGTTCAGTTCAAAATTTGAGCACCAACACAAGATGAAAAGTGTACTCTCTGTGTACATGAACTTAAAGCTTTAAGTGTCCACATGACACATTTTAGTTGAATATTGAACCATGATTGGCTTTTAAGCTAGTTATAATGTCACTAAGTTACACGTCTGAAAATCAGATTTAAGGTGAGCTCAGAGAAACCTTCCCCCTTCAGCAGATGAAAGTGAAAACAGCTTCCTAGTGTCAAACTCTGCACAGTGAAGTTCAAAATATCCAAGTGAAGATACAATAATACATACATAATACATTTTTGTGTGGAGGGAAGACTGATTTTGTATAAAGCAGCTAACAGACTTATCCTTGACTGGTTGTCACTGCATCTTCTCACACGTCATCTTCCTCACCACAGGAGGAACAAGCAGTCAGCTACCTGTGCATGAAGACCAGTCAGAGGCAGCTATGGTGAGTAAGACAGTAAAACAAAAGACTGAAGACAATATTGTAAACTCAGGTGAAGTTGGGCTTCATGCTGTCAGGAAGATAAGTTAAAACTCAGTGATGTTTTTAAAGTGTTTATTAATTAACAATATAGACAAATGATGCTTGTTTTCATCTCAAACAAAAGCAGTGTTTCTGCAGACTTTTGACCATCTGTAGTGTATTTAGTCCAGTGGTAAGTTTGTGTCATTTAGCACAGACTGGCCTCCTCCTCATCATTTCAATACTCTGCCTCTCTGTGCCAGTCTTCAGCGGTGGATCTCAAGACCAAGGAGGAGAAGGATGCAGAGCTGGACAGACGAATCGAAGCTCTGAGGAAGAAAAACGAAGCTCTGGTCAAGAGGTACCAGGTACGCAGTACTTTTACACACAAACACACACAAAATGTAACCTGTAAAGTACAGACTGTTTAAAACTTGACAACACAAACATTTGAAATGGGTCCAAGGTTATTTCCTGCAAGAATGTTTGTTAATGCGGTCACCAAAGAAACATAGTAATTATAACAATAGTTTCCTTGGTAGCTCACAGGAAGTAAACATGGGACAGAGCTGTTGCCTGTGCAACAGAATATCAATAAAATGATCTGTAATCTCACAGCCCCCGTGTGAATCAAACTGCAACTCGGGAGTGACAAAACCAGTTAAACCTAGAAACTAAAAATGTTTTTTTTTTAGGATGGAATATTTATTTAGTTTTCTGTGGTTTGAACACACAACATATTCAAAACCTGCTTAGAAGAAGTCAGGAGTTAAGATTTGGGCTCACAACTGTAGTTTTATCTCACTCATTCTGTCACCTGATGTTAACAGGAAATAGAGGAAGACAAGAAGAAGGCAGAGCAGGAGGGCATCGCCGTGACAACGCCTCGGAAACCCCGCCCGCATGAGCCGGAGACGGACAGGAGGAAGACAGAGAAAGAAAACTTCACCGTCACAGTCGACGTTTCTAAGCCGACAGGGGTAAGACATTATGTGAGACTTTTCTCCAGGAGCTGTATGTGGCATTCAAAGCACTGATATAATGGCCACCTCTGTGTTGGGAAGTGTGTACAGACTATCCTGCCCTGGATTCTGATGCGCTGAATGTTGCATACAGCTCCTTTTGAATCATGCCACTTTTTCAGGAGGACGATTGATCCTAATTAGAGGTCATATTTTTTATTTTTCATTCATTCATTCATTCATCTTCTAACCGCTTCATCCTCTTGAGGGTTGCGGGGGGGCTGGAGCCTATCCCAGCTGACATCGGGCGAGAGGCAGGGTTCACCCTGGACAGGTTGCCAGACTATCACAGGGCTGACATATAGAGACAAACAACCATTCACTCTCACATTCTCACCTACGGACAATTTAGAGTCACCAATTAACCTAGTCCCCAATCTGCATGTCTTTGGACTGTGGGAGGAAGCCGGAGTGCCCGGAGAGAATCCACGCTGACACGGGGAGAACATGCAAACTCCACACAGAAGGGCTCCCACACCCGGGATCGAACCGGCAACCCTCTTGCTGTGAGGCGACAGTGCTAACCACCACACCACCGTGCCGCCCAGATTTTTTATTTTTTATTTTTTTTAAGATAATTTTTTTGGGCTTATTACCTTTATTGTAGAGCAGCTGGAGAGTGACAGGAAGGGAGGAGAGAGAGGTTGGAAAAGAACCTGCAAAGGACTCAGCCTACACGGGGCGAACATTCTACTCACTGAGCTAGAGGCTGACCCTGATAGTGGATTTTTAATGGATGATTCAGTAACAATAGTTTACATGGATCTGCACTTGAAGAGTGCCTTTCTAGTGTTGTGTGTCTAGTGTCTGACCCCTCAATGCGCTTATTACACAATATACATCACATTTATACACACATTTACTCAATGGTGGCGGAGGCTACCATACAAGATGCCACCTGCTACTCTGTTTTTTAACACACTCACACACCAATCGGGCGCAATTTGGCGTTCAGTATCTTGCTCAAGGATACTTCGACATGCAGACTGGAGGAGCCAGGGGTCGAAACACTGATATTCCGATTAGTGGACAACCAGCTCTACCTTTGAGCCACAGCAGTGAACAGGAAGAACTGACCATGGATTAATCAGTTAACCTCTAGGGAGCCGTGTCCATCAAAGTGCTTTTTTTTCTCGCTGAAAACATCAGGTTCTCCTCATAAAACACCCAGCAGGGAGAGTTTGAGAGCGCTTTGGAGGCACAGCGTTTTCTCAGCTGAGACACTTTGGTTGCATCTGGTTGGTATGATATGGAATATCTGCAGAAGTAGACATGTCGGCATGAGGTAGAGCTCTGGATGATAGGACAGACCCGCTGATCTTTTTAGGTTTATACAAGGAAACATATATTGATTTATATCAGTATATTAACATACTTCTCTTCCATCATTGTTGTTGTTCTTCAGCACTTGTACATGCAAGATGTGACGGTTGGTGGTGGTATTTGTCCCTCCTCCACTGTGACTGAATGGCTGAATAAAAAGTGACAGTGGGGAGTGCTGTGTTTGACCTTGAAATTGAATGTTTTTGACACACAAAAAAAACACTAGACAGGCAGTGCTCAGGGTATAATAGACGTTAAGCATTGAGTCGCAGATGTTTGTAGCGCAGCCTAAATACGCAACACTTCATTGCAAAACATTCAAAGATATGCAAGTCTCAGGAAATTTTTTTTTTTTGCTAGATGCAGCCCCTAATTCCAGTCACACAGACACACATTCATCCATTAACACCATAAAACAACTCTGTGAATATCAGTTCTAAGATTGCTGTGACACGTCTTTCCATCACTGGTGTTGTTTTGTTGTTGTAAAAATAACCTCTTCATCTGGTTTATGATGATCCTGCAGACAGAAGACGCAGCTGATAAACTCTGACAGGTTCTCATTACTGTGTTTATCAGTTTACCATCCACATGCCTGCCAGTCTACCCATCATGCCCTGCATCAGTCCTCTACCCACTTCTTGTGTTACATGTGTAGGCTGGCAGTTGCATTTGGGATACATAGTGCATATTTTCAGTAATACACATAAAAACCTACAAGGAATATCATTTTATAAAAAATGAGTTCAGGAAGCACTTAAAATATTACATACAAAAATTCGCAGTCATTCTCCAGCTGCGTGCACATTAATGGTAAAGAAGTAGGGTCTTTAATTACAAGTACGGATGCATAATAATATCTGCACATTATCAATATCGGCTTTACCATTAATGTGCACGCAGCTGGAGAGACCATGCACGCATAATATGATGTTAATTCCACCACAGAAGAGACTTGATGATCACTAAAATTGGGGGGGGGGGGAAGTGGATATATTGATAACGGTATATCGTCCGAATAAGTTGTAAGATATTGGCAAAAAAAATCCAATATTGTGCATCTCTAATTAAAAGCCACAGAGGTGAAGCGAGATGTTGCAGCCCAAAAATTGAAGTCCACAGAAAAAGAAGCAGTGCATCTACAGATTAATGCCATACATAATATGTTATGATCCACTAAAGTTAGGCATGTTACTAGATGAATAAATTCCCATTTTTGTCATTTTTGCTGCCATTTTAACTGTAAGGAAGCTGGGAGGGATTTGTCCAACCATGTCTGCGACACGTTTGTTCCCTGGTCCCTGCACCTCTTCATACCACACTGAGAGCATTTCAGGAGCGGAGTGTTTTACCTGCCTGATTCTGTAGACTTACAAATTTTGTTGATTTGGTCATTTTCCTTGATATCTCAACTTCCACCATGAGTAAATAAGTAAGAAGCAGGGTTTCTTTTTTTGTCTATTTTAATTGTTATTTCTTGTTAAGTTAAGTTAAGTTAATACTGTTGAAGTCAGTTATGAACAACATGGATTAAAGATTTATTGCTGAGTTTCACTTATTTAAACATTCATTCTCTTAATTATATTGTATCTGTATTTCATCTACAGTGTTAGGAAAACTGCTCTGCGCAATGTGTTGCAGCTTCGGCATAAATAGACGAGGCGTGTATTTCTGGGACGCTTCTGAAACATGCTGTGCCGCATCTGCTGGAATAATAAGGATTGTCTATGGTTGCCGTGTTTAGCTCAGGCGGTCACTTACTCACCTGATCTGCACTCTACTCAGTCCCTGTAGATGTTCTCATTTATCCAGGTCATATTTATGTCAAGGCAATTGAATTGAACGCAGCTGGACTTAGTTTTGTCTTAGAAGACGTTTCACCTCTTATCCAAGAGGCTTCATCAGTTCATGCTTGTCTGACTAGGCTGGAACTAGTCTGACAAACTGGTGTGGAAACAACCCAGGTATTTAACCTCTGGGGAGGTCTTCACAAGGCCAATGATGTCACTGGTTCATTAGTGCTCCAGTGGTGTGCCGACGACGGTCGTTGAAACTCCTGCTGCAACGGTGGTCGTTGGAGTCGTTAGAATCATATGAGGCATTTGTGAACGACTATTGTTTTCAGAGGTTAAGCTGTTAAATCTCCTGCAGCATTATAGGTGGTGTCGCAGACCTCCTCCTCTGTTGAGAGATGGTTTTTCCAAATTTCACATAGATGGCTTCTTTTACACCTTTTTCAAACCATCTGTCTTCCCTGTCCAAAATATGCACATTGCTGTCTTCAAAGGAGTGTACGTTCTCCTTGAGGTGTAAATAGACAGCTGAGTCTTGCCCTGACGACGACATGCGTTTGTTTAGTGGTGGTTTTGTTTCACCAATGTACAAGTCTGGGCATTCCTCGCTGCATTGGACAGCGTACACCAGGTTGCTCTTCTGGGTGTGTGGTGTACGGTCTTTTGGATGTACCAGTCTTTGTCTGAGTGTGTTGCTGGGTTTGAAATACACCGGGTTGCGGTGTTTGTTGAAGATCCTCCTGAGTTTTTCAGATACCAATGACACATAGGGGATGACAATGTTATTGCATTTGTTCTTTTCTTCATCACCCACCTTGTTCTTTCTGGAACGGGCTGCTGTTTTCACAAAGGTCCAACTGGGGTAACCACAAGTTTTTAGAGCCTCCCTCAGATGTTCATGCTCTTTCCCTTGGGCCTGAGTGCTGGTAGGTGCGTTATCAGCTCTGTGTTGTAGGGTCCTGATAACACCTAGTTTGTGTTCCAGTGGGTGGTGAGAATCGAACAGTGCACTTTTTTTAGTTAAGTATAATAGTTCTTAATGTTGACTGAATGAACCATTTATAGATAAAATAAACAGATAGGAATGTCTGTTCTTGTTAAATCTCGTGATTTTAACATCACATCACATTGAGGCAAAAATCTTGTAAATTCAGTTTTGCCTTAAAGCAGTCCTACTGAATAATTTCCCAAATCGCTCACGTGAAACGTGACACAGACTGAAAATATAAAAGTTCGTATGTGAAAGTTTATGAGATGAGTGTTTTCATTAGTTTAGTGTGTGCTCCTGTGTTGGTTAGCCATCCATGTAGCTCTGCTTATCCTTGATTTGATTTGATTTGAAAACATTTCTGGCAGCTGTTTTTAAAAACAGAGCTGAGATGATTGTACCAACCTGTTACAGCAACATAATGTTGTAACAGCAGATTGTGGTGCAGAGTAGTCAACATATTTAAGTGCACAAACATCCTGAAGAGCTCTGTAATCAGTTTATCCAACTCGTAATGCTCAGTATGCATTTCAGTGTAGTTCTGTTTTCATGTACAGTGCGGTAACGCATTAGTGTACCAGCAGTACTGTTGGAACATATACAGGTCATGTTGTGAGCTACATTCTTTTCAGTTTTTCCTAGAAGTCTCATTTTAAAGGGTGAAAAAAGGAAAACAGCTGGAGTGCATTGATGTTGGTTTCACATAAATCTCCCTTGCACCGTCTGAGAAATTATATCCAGAAAAAAAAACAGGTCAGCAACAGTATGCATGCAGATCATGCATCTGAAAAATTAAATGATAAATAATGATAACAGAATAAGATGCTTGTAGTTGCATGTTTTGAACATTGTGTAGACGTTCACATTAAAAGCACTGTCCTTAAAGGAATACTTTGCTGATTTTCAACCAGCTTTATATCACAACAGTGTGGGCGGTATGTGTAAATGAACTATGGTAAACATCCCTCCATCTTACTAGCGCCCAGATCTCCCTGATCATCTCTCAGCTCAAAATTTTCGCTGGCTGTCGCTCGAACTACAGATTGCATTTTTGTATGCCCCCCAGCGTAGACACAAAGACTATGGAAGCTGATCGAGAGAAAGAAACCCGCCCCTCTCTCTCATAAACGCAGACTGAACTCTGATCAAACAGTAAAACTAAGCAGTGCTGATCAAATATAAACCAAGATTCTGTTACTGCATTTCCTTTTTCTCACCTGAAATGTTTTCAGAAACATATTTTAGTGCCCTGTATGGCTGTAACTTGAGATCGCTTATTACCAGCCGGTTGCCATATTGTCTCCTGTTGTATGCCTGTTGGCATGTTTGCATTATGTCAACCACCAGCAGGGGAATTCATTGGTCCGGTGTAGCACAGTGCATTCTGGTAGTGTAGGAATTCTGCTTCTTGAGCAAAAGCAAATGCCAAAGCCCTTATCCTGTGTTTCCTCTAGTCATGTACAGCAGCACTAATACTACAAGTATTTAGTTTAGTTTGTTCGTTTTCCAACTTTTATACCTCAGATACACACACACACACACACACACACACACACAATAACAGTAAGCCATTACTTCTGAAGCAGTGACAAACCAAAGTAGGTTTTGTTAATCAAAAAGGTTAAAGCTCAAGCCTTGGCTTAAAGCACGTACCCTTTTACATGAATTGTTTTATACTGCTCTCTTTAGAATTATACATTTAAATAAATGAAACAAGCAAACAAAATGTATGTCTACTCTGTATATCCCAAAGTCCCAAACAAATATTCATATACACACACTGGCTTTAGTAACTCCATTTTATATTTCTTAATCATCTTACTTTTGTTTATTTATTTATTTTTTTAATCTATCAAGTGTTTCACACTGTTTCAATTCAAAACCATTCCACAAATTAACTTCTTTAAGTGTTACACAAGTTCCTTTTAGTTCATACTGACTCTCTTTAATTTTGAACAACTTCTGGATACAGTCTGGAAGCATCTTAGTTTTTACTTTATACATTATTTGTGTAGTTTTTAAGTCCAACAAATCACTGCATTTGAAAGCTTGTGAGTTATGTATAATTTGTTGGTGGTTCTCGATAATCATCTCAATTTATGATTCTTAAAGCTCTCTTCTGTAACATTACAATGGGATTTGTGATTTGTCCGTCCTCCTACTGCACAGACAGCCCAATTTTATCGTAAGACCTTCTTTTCCAACAGTGAAATGTTTCTTTTACAAATAACTACACTATTTTGGCCACTTGGGGGCAGCAGAAACAACATTTACATATAATCACCTTTTGTTGAACTTGTTATCGAACAGTTGCTTATTCACACATCCAGCAGAAGTCAGAGCAACATGATCAATCATTAGTAATCATGTTTGTGTCCAGCTGATGAATGTAAGTCCAATACTCCCTCTCGTTTCGCTATGTTTCTTGTCTTCAGCAACTCTTGAGAAAAACATCCATCAAATGTCTCTTTAGCTGCTAAATGCTCCACTACGCTCACCAGCTAGTCTCCAACTGTGTCTGTCTGCTGTCTGATGCTGAGCAGGTAGTGTGCAGTGGGTTTTAGAGCTTTATCTCTGTAAACAGCTGCCTGCTGCAACCGAAAACAGCGTAATGATAGCGGTGACAATGAAACAAAACAGTAAAGTTGTTGGCCGGACAGCTTAACAGTGAACTGAACATACAGAGCTCTGTAAAGCCGAGAGGGGCTGCAAATTCAGCTGATACTTCTCTGTGTCTATCTGTTGGACAGCTGAAGTTTTTGATCATCAGGTCCAAGAGGGTTGGTGGTGTAATAGTGCCATCAGCGCCTGCTGAGGTCCAGATTGCTTCAGAAATGACCACTGATGACTACAGACCCCTGGTGTTCAACCTGCAACAATTACAAGACAAAAACAGGTCTGAAGGGCAGCAGGGTGGCATTTGCTCCACATGTGTACCAGTCTGAATGATATTTAATCCGGCTCAGCAGGTCATATTTGGTTCATTAGTCTGTTCAAGCTTCTCTACAGCTTGACAACAGACTCCTGATCCCTGAACTTTAAGAGCTCTTTGAAATGATGATGAACAATTGCTGCCTCTCCCTGTCTCACTCTGATTTCTTCATGTTGTAGATTTGCATAATCCATAGCCCTGATTCGTCTTTTGTCCTTTTTATATGGCACCAACCCCTCAGATTGAGGAGACTGAGTCTGTTTAACTGCGAAGTACAGGGATAAATCAAGGAGGGGATATCCTTTTTTTTTTTTTTTTTTTTTAACCCCATTAGCCAATTGGCTGCTAGAATTTACCACCTCAGACATTTACCACTTTATTACCAGCCAAATATAATTTCTAGAACAGGATATGATAGTCGTGTTCAAATGATTTGCATTTGTTTACAGTCTGTTTGATACATGTGACCCAAGATGAGTTTTAATGCAGAGCAGCGAACAGTACTGTTACAACATCCTAAATGTGAAATTGCTCTGTGGTTTATTATTAGTGCGAGAGGGTTGAAATCATTATTTCTTTATTTTCTACAAGAAAATCATGCATGTTTTTCTAATTGTTCTAATTGTTGATTTTAATTTTAATTTTCATATCAGTCCTTATTAGAGCTCTGATTGGGCCAAAAAATCAGGCCCAACTCTACATAAACCTGCACAGTTTCTGTGCAAGCCCAATACAAACCCAACCCACAGCAGCGTTTTGGGCCTGAGCCAGATTTAAAAACCCAAATTAGTACTGTTAATTATATATTATTTACAGTATATGTGTATTATATTTTTTTATATTTCTTTTTCAAATATTAAAATATTTATTACAAGGTAACGGCTGACATGTTTCCTTGTATCAAGTCTCCTCCTGTTCCTTCTGTTTTTTCAGTAGTCTGTTGTCTCATTTAGGACAGGTTAGGCAGAGCGGGCTGCGCCCCTCGATGCATCTAGTGTGCTTGGTGGTCCATGGTGATGCAGTGCACCGATGATGATCACTGCTTTTTCCCTGCATGCTACGCACATCTCTCCCACTGCTGGGAAGGCAAAAGCAAACACAGTCAAGCAAGTCACCTTGCAGCCCGTCTCTCTCTCTTTCTCATGTTTTCCGTCCCTCTCTAGTAAGTGTGCTATCTCTCAACCCAGTTCTCCAATGTATTGCTCTGTTGTTCCATCACTTTTGCCTCTCTCAGTCTCAGTCCACCTCTCTTTCTCTCTCTTTGCCTCTTGTTTCAATCCATTACATTTCCTGTCATTTATACACAAAAACTAGCATTTTTTCTTTTCAAGAAAAAAACAGTAAATTGGCAAGAATATGATTTGATTCAAGCCCTGAGGAAAAATGAGAAACAACATTCCGCCCTGGTCTTATCCTGTTAGGTCGGGTTGGACCCAAACGTGCTTAATCAGACCTCTAATCCATATCATCTTGTTCACCATGCGAAGCTTTTTTCTATGGCTCCTGAAGCTCCTGCTTGTCTTGTTGAGACCATCTGCTCGACATGCTGAATGAAATTATTTAAATGTGGCACTCAACTAAACTTACTGTCCATACTGTGTTATATGTGTGTGTTTCCTGCAGGACAAGAGAGTGGTGAACGACTGGAAACCTGGGACGCCTCGTGGCCGGAAGACATCTGAGGAGAGCGACGGCCACCGAGGAGGGCCGAACGACAGCCACAGCCCTCCCAGGAGGATGGGGTCGGGACGAATGGGTCGGGGAGGTCAGAGAGGTGGAGGCCGCCAGGAGAGGAGAGAATGGGAACCTAGGACACCCAGAGATGGAGAACATGGGGAGTCAGGAGGACCAGGGCGCAGAGGAGGAAGGAGAGGAAGGGGAAGAGGAGGAGGAGGGGGTGGAGGAGATGGAGGAGATGGAGGGACACCGGTTGGAACACCAGGTGGCATGGACAGGAAATCCAAAGTGAGTGCTGATGAACTCTGATACTTAGCTACACATTGTCTGATACACCTGTTTTGTTTTGATTTTCAACACACATTACGTTACATGCACAAAATAATCCAGTTTTTGCCCATATTCTGAGAAAGACAGTATTTCTTCTGAGCTGTTTACTAATAAAAATTAATATTCCACTAATATTGTATTGTATTGTAAATGGAAGGCTAGAGCTGTGTGCAATTTTGCACCATTTCATCAGAATAGCATTTTTTTCAAAGTTCTCTTACCAGTGGCAGACTTGTTGGACCATGCATACACATCCTCCCTCTTTCCTTTCTTCAACCACCTTCTTGAAAAGGTCGGTGTTGTGATATTTGCGCACGTCCAAAAACCTGATATCCAAGTCTTTAATAGCATTTAAAAGTAGGTGTGTTTCTCCTTCAGACCAGAAATGTGGGCTTTTCTTTTGGGCATGTATCTATAGCCTTGCAGACTGTTGGCGAGTTGGTTTGTGTATAACGTCTTCATGACGACAGAAAGAGCCAACCAAACCAACATGCAAGAGGCAGTTTGTCGCAAATTGCGGTTGAAAATCTCAGTTCAGATGCGTTTTCTGAAAGGGCTGTATACATGTCCAAATAATGCAATTAAAACCCGGTTGATAACAGCATATCTTACTTGTCTTAATTGGAAAATGCTACGTTTGAAATATGGTTTAATAGAAAAAATCCAAACAATATGTTGTTTACCTGACCCGTAATAAATTTAGAATATTGTCATATTCAGAATAATAGGGGAATATTAGTGTGCATGTAAACGTACCCAATGAAATCGTGTTTCATCTGAGAGAGAGAGAGGTGGATTATGACTAAAGCTTCAGACCAACATTTTCTTTTGCCCAACACTCATTCATTTTAATGGAGCCAGTCCAGCAGTGTAGCGGGGGTGTTGACACAGAGGGCCGGGCAAAAGAAAAAAGCAGGGTTGTCCTGTCCCAACTTTTACCACAAAGCAAGGCAGTGTCATCTAGTGTACATGTGTGGTGGATTACTTTGTAATCTGAAATTTGCATTTCTGGTAATTGACACGATGAAAGATAGAAAACTTGCTGCCGTGAACTTCCCTGAGTTACTAACATCGTTGCTGTCTTCATTCTGAATGCCAACATTAATGTCCTGTATTTGTGATCTATCACTAATGATGCATCCTTTGGTTGTTGTTTTTTTGGACAGGAATGGGAGGAGAAGAGACGACAGAACATTGAGAAAATGAATGAAGAGATGGAGAGAATAGCGGAGTATGAAAGAGGACAGCGGGTATGAGAGTCACTGTTTTTAAAAATCATTTTAGGGATGCACAATATATATTGGGCTGATTTATTATCAGACAGTAATGGGAAATTATTTTTATTAGTCATCATTCTGATAATAAAGCTATAGCTGATAAATGGAGCTGACAATACAGAGCCAAATTGCTTTCATTAACTTTACTACTGCAAGAAGAGCAAGCGCAGCATGCCAAACAGTGCGCCAAACATGTTGTTGCCAGTGTGGACATTTTCCACAGTTTTAGAGAACATCCAACATTGAGCTGTTAAACAGTCTCAACAAACCAGCTCGACTCTGTCGTTAAACCCGTTAATAGCTGCTAGGTAACGTTAGCAGTGTGATGCTAACAGTTAGTCCTGTCACAGTGTGTGTGTGAAGGTCTCATTATAAACAGAGAGGGAGAGAAAGTGAATCAAGGAGGGGCTGAGTGAATCAACGCGCTGCGTGGAGCTCTACATTAAAAATCAGAATTTACTCATTTCAAATTGTAAATAAAAAGAAGTGGAAAATGAAAATTTGCCAGGTCAGTGTTGATATGGTGACAGGCCTTCATAATAGATCAATGTGTGGGAAAGGCAGGGCATTTATTTTTGCAGTGAGGGATGAACTTACTTCATTACTTGTTAACAATATATTGACAAGTCTGGGTGGATGGATTATGTCAAAGCATTTCATGTGAAATCTTAGACAAAACACTCATAAAGCATGGTTGTGAAGTTTTTTTGTACTTGACTAAAAAGATAAAGAGTCAGAACAGTTTTTTGTGTTTTTGTTGTGTGTGTCAACAATAGTGATGTCAGTTAGATTTGTTTAGGTCAGAGTTTAAATCATTTAGCTTTGCTCACTACATCTTCGCCTTTCTTACCCTCAGGTGTGCATAAGCTGCAGGTTATGAACTTCTGTTTAAATACAAAAGGTATCAGCCATAAGAAGTAGGTAATTATCAGTTATTGTATCGGCTGAAAAAATTCATATTGTGCATCCCTATTTTATTTTTATTTTTTTTTTACAATAATTTAGCTCATCAGTTAATTCATTAATCATTTAATCTTGAATTTTCATTTGTTGTGTTTTGTTTTAATGTCCTCCGACCTTCTACAATGTCTGTTTTTTTTTTGGGGGGGGGTTTAGACTAAAAGTACAAATTCTTAGTATTTTTGGGGCAAACTAACTAGACTTCACTTTTTATAAGATATTCATCTAGCATGCTGTGGTGTCAGTGAACATGGAGTGAACTTGTCAATGTGACAGAGCTGTACATTTATAATTCCTTTCCTTAGCCGGATGGAGACAAGCCAATCCGTAACTTCCTGGATGATCCAAGACGTTCAGGCCCAGCACCAGACACGGACCGCAAGGAGGGGAGCAGGAGACATGTACGAAACTGGGGAGGGTTGGACTTTGACAATGTAAAGACAGGAGCTGAACTGGAGAAAGAGTGGACTGTAAGTAACATTGTTCCTTAAAAATATCATACGAGAGCTTTTAACAGCCAAACCACTCTTGTACTCCCTGCTGTAGCGACATTAATGTCACTCCTTTTGTGACCCCTCATGTCTCTGTAGAGCCGGAGGCCAGGTCCGAAAGGCTCTGTGGACATGACCATGTCCATGACAGGCCGGGAGAGAGCAGAATACCTGCGCTGGAAGAAGGAGCGTGAGCAGATTGATGAGGAGAGACTGGCACGCCATCGAAACGCCACAGGCCAGTGGAGACGAGAGTGGGACGCACAGAAGACAGACAACATGTAAGGAACGAAGCATTGAACCATAATTTGAATAGATTTTTTTTTGAGTGTGAGGAAGAGCACCTAAAGCATTTTCTGTGTTCTTCATACCATTTAATGTCCATGTTTGTGTCTAGGTGCTAGATTTCTTTGAACTTAAGCTGCAGATAACAATTATTTTTTATCACTGATAACCCTGCCAGGCATTTTCTTGATTAACTAATTCATTGTTTTGTCTATAGAATGTCAGAAAATAGTTAAAGGAACCTGTAACAATTTCCCAAAACCCAGGATGATATATTGAAAATTAGTCCACAATATTCAGTTTACAATCAGACATGACAAAGACAAACAGCAAATCATCACGTGAGAAGATTTAACCAGCAAATGTTTGTAAAATGACTAAAACCATTATCAAAACAGATGATGATTAATCTTCTATTATATCAATTAATAGACTCAACGTAGCTGCTCTACTTAGATCATACTAATTATGGATTATGCAAAATCGTGCATCTCAAAGGGACTATCAAGTCAACTAAATCACAAAACCAAGATGCTCAAATCAAAGTCACAAATTAACTTCTTCAAATGTTCTCTCTAATTGTGTTTTGTGAAAAATGTCCTCTCCACCAGAGAACATCCCAGCCATATGTGACAGTTTTATTCCAGCACACACACTGAGGATCAGATATTTAGCACTACACAGGACCTGGTGGCACAATGGGTTAACTTTTTAAATGTGTTTGGTGTCTACAAGCCAATAGCTGGCTTCAGTGTACAGATTAAGTGGGTCAGTTTTTGACTTTAATTGAATACGACTGTAGTTTGACACTGTGCTCAAATATAAATCTGTGGTACTAGTACTTTACTTTAGTATTTAGTCTCATACCACTTTATCCTTCAACTCTGTTACAATTCAGAGGGATATGTTGTACTTACTGTTCATATGCAATTCTTTGAAAGCTAAATGCAGTATGAGGCAGTTATTTACCGATGTTATGAGCACTACTGTCAGTTCATCTCAGTGTGAGAGTCTCTTGCATTTCGTAGTCATCTATTGTGCATGGTGTTTCAACACGGGTAGAGCCCAGCCCGTGCTCGGAGGAGACAGACGGCAGTGCAGAACCAGCAACAGCCAGACTCACAATGCCACTGCAAGTGCAACAAAAGCCTCGCAAGCAAAAAAACCAATAGAGTAATTTATGTACGTAATCTGCACATAAGATGTACAGACAACAAATATATACATATATACATGCGACAGAATATAGTTACATTCAGGTAACTCAAGCAAAGGCTGCACTGAAGCAACAAACCCTGGAGAACAGTTTCATAAAGGGACAGAGATGTCCAAAAAGATATAGAGACGATGTAATATTTTATACTTGGATATTTTGTAAAAGAAAATAAATGAATAACATTTAGGAACAGCTTAGATACCGGGATTTTTTTCTCAGTGCATTGCTTAGTTGTCAAGTATAGGCTGTACATTGGATTGATTTTAATAACTTTAAAGTACTTGAAGTGTACACTGCAGCTGTATTATCTTGAAGAATAGAAGTATTGGATCAGGACTCTGTATCTGCAGATACTTAATATTAAATTACTCAAATCAGAATTGGTGACAAAAGACTTTGAGGACATCCTTAGTTTGGACTGTTTGGTTGGACAAAACAAACACTGCGAAGGTGTCACTTTGAGCTCTGGGTCATTGTTACAGCATTTCTCACTATTTTTACAAACCAAACAATCAATCTTTAATGGAGACAACAATCAGCAGATTAATCCATAATGAAAATAACCATTAGTTAATGGTTCAGAATGAGCTCCACCTCAGCCAGCTACAACAGTTAAATCCTGCTTTTACATCAGAATCATCTAATAAGATCATATATAATATAGAATAGTCACAGGGGACATTTTTTACTGCCAATACTTCAATTACATATTCATGAGTATACTTACATACTTCTACTTACATAACATTGTCAATGCAGGACTCTTACCTGTAGTGGAGTATACAGTGTGGTATTAGTACTTTTACTTAAGTAAAGGATCTAAATACGTCTTCCACCACTGGACAGAGGACAGGTGAGGATGATAGGAAATGTTTTTCGTCATCTTTATTCCTTCTGACAGGCGTGATGAGAAGGACACACTGATATTTGATGTGCGTGTGTCTAACCCTGCGGCTTTTTTCACAGGTTTAAGGAGGACCCATATGTAGCCTCAGAGGGCATTGCACCCGAGCATGGCAGCAGGAAAGGCAAGTAGACACACACACACACACACCACTAGTTTGCTGTTACTGTGGTTACACGACAGCTGGCAGGACTGTGACACCACCTCCGTCCCGTGTCTCTGTTCATCCTACATGATGTCACTCCAACATGCCGTCACAAAGACACACATCGTAAACACACATCACAAGACACAACACCATCTTCCTCCTGCAGCTAATTAAGGCTGTTATGTAAATGATAGTTGATTAAGCTGGTTATGTAAGTGCTTGCCGTATTTCCCTGGAGTCCAAATCAACCTTTTGAGCTGCGGTCATGCTGATGTGAGAGGGACCTTCAGAAGGACCCAAGACTTCTTTTATGGGTGCCAACTGAGTCTTTTTCAGTGAAGTCAAGGTAAACAAGTAGATAAACAGCCCCGACCACTATAACCCAGCCAAACAGAGAAAGGGTTTATATGTAGACTGATGATATGTAGACTAAGTGCAAGTTGTGAGGTTAAATGAAATACCAGTGCTTGAGGACCCGCTTGTGGGTTCCTAAACAGCAACAGAGTGAGAGTTGTGTATGAGACGAGGACGGTCACCTTACAGTGTCAGCAGGGGAGCTTTATTATGGCTTAATTTTGCTCATGCATGTTTTAATTTCAGTCAGTCATCCGGATGATAAAATAATCCACTGTGGGACTGTGGTAATCCCAGGACAGGGAAACAAAACAAGTCAAACTCTGTTTGAATGGCTTTGCATCTTTAATGCTGCTCTTCCTTTCTACTGTCTGCTTGGTGCTCGTAATGCAGATCTAAGGAGCACAACTGGATGTTCTAATGAAACAAGCAGTCAGTCTGGACTAGTTATCAAAAAAATTAAAGAATATAAAAAAGGTGCTTTTTGGAAGTTTTGCTATAGACGCTGGAGGAAAAAAAAAAAAGAAGACAATATTTTTTTTTTTTTTTTGCCTCTGCGCCGGCAATAGCCATGGCTGGAGGCATTATGTTTTCAGGTTGTCTGTCCATATGTCCATCCAATTCTCGTGAACATGATATATTCTGAACGCCTTGAGAGAATTTCCTTAAATTTGGCACAAATGTTGAATTGGACTCAAGGATGAACAGATTTGTTTTTAGTGGTTAGGTCACAGTGACCTTGCATCTATCACATTTTTGTGGAGGCGATATCTCAAGGACAGAATTTCTTCAAATTTCCACTTTAAGTCAGGGTGAACTGATTAGTTTTTGGTGGTCAGGGGTCAAAGGTCATCGTGGCCTTGTGCTGTATCATTTCATGAATGTGATATTTCAAGAAGGCCTGGAGGGAATTTCCTCAAATTTGGCACAAATTTCCACTTAAACTTAAAAATGAACTTCCTAGAATGTGGCAGACGAAGGTAAAAGGTCATGGTCACTGTGACTTCACAAAACATGTTTTTGGCCATAACTCAAATTTCACACAGATGTCTAATAGGATATAATGATGATGAAGTGACATTTTATGTTCAGAATGTCAAAGATCAACTTTGCAGTGACATCATAATTCCTGCAAAAACACTTTTCTGGCCATCATTCAGTGTCATATCTCAGGAACAGAAGGAGACATTTGGTAAGATACTAAACTGGTGACACTAATCTTGAAACTGTGCTGATTGTATAGATCTTCTATGCTGCTGGGGGGAAGATGTGTGTGAAGCATCCGTGTTTTCACAGACATGGATGTAAACTATAACTGCAACTTGACAGGTTCGCGGAGGCATACAACCGCAAGACGGTAGTTCTAGTTTAAAATCATATTTCCACGGCTGCACAATCATAAAATAATTAGATCACAATAGGGATGCATCGAAATGAAAATTTGTGGCCAAAGCCGAAGCCGAATATTATTAAACGCTTGGCCAAATACCGAGTACCGAATATCGAATATCATTGTTTAGTTTTTCATTAGTTTTTGCAGATGAACCCCTTCGAAATTAGTGTTGTCACGGTACCAAAATTGGGACCCACTGTGCGATACCAATGAAAATACCATGGTTCTGAGTAGTATCACGATACCACAGCGAAAATGAGGCAGATGTGTTTTTTGTCATTTATAAAAAGATAAATCACTTTTCTATAATACATCAATGATATTTCAATGGAATAAATTACTTATTGACTTATTCATACTTCAAAAACAGCATCAATGAGTGATGAACATGGGGGGGATCAAAATAAAATAAATAAATAAAATAAAAATCAACCAGCCACCCTCCTCCCCTGACAAGTAAAGAACAGTCCCTAAAGTGCGGTGAGGTTTGTGGGCCGTTACTGACTCAAAGACAGAAATGTGAAAGGCTCGTTTCTCCTCTGACACATCACATACCTGTGTTCGGCTGGCTCGGCTGTTCAGGTACTTCTGGGCAGTCATGACACCAAGAAGAGGATATTATTGGAGCCGACTTCTCCATCGCCCGGTAAACCGATGGCAGCCGTAATTGACAGGAATGCAGTCCTGTCTGTGTCTGTGACCCCTGTTCAACCCACAACCGATGGGATTCGCCTTTCATTTCTGCTGCTGGTTGAAATCTGTAGGCTGCTCGCACAGCGTGCTGAATGATTTAAGCCTATTTTGCTTGCTCAAAACTATTTTTAGTCGCAAATGCGAGTGCCGTGACGGACGGATCGCCACTCTGCTGACATTTTATTCCGCCCGTCACGGCACGCTGTTTGATTGCGTTATCAAAACATGCCGCTATTATTCGGCCTTGCTTTTAACTTATTCCACCGAATACCAAATGGGTGTTTTTTGCAATATTCGGCCGAATATATTCGGTTACCGAATATTCGGTGCATCCCTAGATCACAATTGTGACCACTGTTCAGGTGCAGAAATAACATTTTTTGTTTAGAGTGACATTTATATAAAGATACAGCCCAATGTTTTGAACAGTACTATGAACCAAGCATCTAAAGTAAGTCTTATTCAAACTGCAGTTTTAGAAAAGTGCAGCATGTCAGTGAAGAATGTTTCTTGTCAATTTAAATTTTTCAAATGCAGAAATACAATCCAATAACTAAAATAAATTAATTATGAGCATGAAAAATATCAAGATTATATCATCAGGATGTTATAAAATAAAAGCTGTCATGTGGACTTTTTCAAAGGTAGTGTGATTGAACTTCTTTGCAGCCTTTGCCCTGCGATTCATCTCACACCTCAGTGTCACTCATGTGTTAACCTCACCAGTGATAATATGTTTAGGCTTAGTGGCAAAATAATGATGTTTTCATGGTTATTGTATATTTGATTTATGTTGGTGTGTGTGTGTGTGTGGGTGGACGTACTATAATGTGTTTGTGTCCTCTCTGCAGCCCGGGGGCGTAACTCTCGTGCAGAGCCTCAGGGCAGGGCCTCAGGTTAGATCACAGCATGGGACTGAGATTGCATTGTGTGTGTGTGTGTGTGTGTGTGTGTGTGTGTGTTATTGTGTTCTATTTGTGTGTCTGTCTGAAGCACAGCAGCTGTGCCCGACCCCAAACACACCCCAGATCTCACCCCTGATTCACAAACCTTGCACTGTAGTTAGGGCTGAGTGATATGGCTAAGAATGTTATCACAATGAAAATGCTTATATCAGTCCATATTGATAACTATCAGGATGTCAGTAATTATTTCCTGATTTTTGCTCCTGGAGTAAATGTTGAAGAAATCATACATTAAATTTAAACTATTTCTTATTGTCAGAACATGACATTTGCCAAACAGCTGAACATTTTTCAAGTCTGAGTTGGATTTAAAACAACTATAACAGGGATATCCTGATTCGATCTCAAAGATCGGGACTAGGGGAGGGGTTGGCTGTATTGAACCATGTAGAGGATCCCATCCTTTGTTTAACGTCAGCAGCTGTCACACAGCTGTTTATACTCACGGAGCTTTCATGCAGACTGACTCTCTGCTCTCCTTTTCTCCTCCACTCAGCTTAGCTCTTGTGTGTAAGAGCAGGGGCTGAGCCCCGCCTGCAGTGAAACACCACTCGCCATAAGCGACAGAGAAAATTCAGTATGAGAATTTGTTTTTGACCAAAATTGTGAGCACTCATTTTATTTCAGTTCAGTGAGAAAATCTTTTAAGTCTATATCCGAAGGCACTGCAGGTGCAACAAAAGCCCCATGAGCAAAAGGCACATAAGAGTTTTATGTAAATGTAGCCTAATCTGCACAAGAGACGTACAGAAGATGAGAATAAACACTGAATGGCCAAAAAGAAGACCTATTTGGACCTATTACATATTTTGTAAAAAAAAACAAAACAAAACAAAAAAAAAAAACGGTACACTTGGATGCAGGGATTTTTTTCTTAATGCATTACAGAGCCTTTCGATTGTCAAGCATATACATGAGATTGATTCTGTAATGTGCAGCTGTATTACCTAAGAAAATAGAAGTATTGGATCGGGACTCGGTACCAGCGCATACTCAAAATTAAGTGACTAAGAACGTGACCATTACATCCCTAAATTATAATGTCAGTTAAAATTAGATAGAAAAATGTTAATTCTGGTCAGGAGCACGTCAAACCCCTTTCTACATACAGTTTAAAACATTTTGTGGGTGTAAATAAAATGAACAGACACAATAAAAATCTCAATCGTGGTCAGTTTCACACCCACTGTATGTAATTTCTGCTGTTTCTCAATCAAAACAGTAACAAAAGATGGATTTGTTGATGTTGTCAAGTAACCTGAGGTCATTTATTGCCAGTGAAAATCTATCTGACGTTACAGACCATTACCGACCAGTTAATGTATTGACGTTTCGTCACATTATGTCATTTCATTGATTAATATAGCATAAATGAAAAAGCCGCAAGTCAGTACCATTAACTTGCTGACCTACCGTTAGCATTATCTGTCGACTACACAGCTAACGTTACTATAGCTAACATTATGTGGTGAATTCAGTCGTGGGGTAGCCCAGCGCTGTGTGAACAAAAACAGTCATACTAAAAATAACTTTATGAGCATTTTGAACATTGTTCTAACGTTATAACATTGCAGTGCACATTAGCTTGGAGGCTGGTCTTGTCGTCTTCTTCTACTTCTACTACTACTACTATTACTACTTAATGGCAGGTGGCGACTAGGGCTGTCAACGAATATTCTAAATTCGAATTTAAATTCGAATTTGAAAAAAAATGGACCTTCGAATGTGAAAATTAATATTCGATTGTGGAGGGAAAAAAAACACCACCGCAGCTGTCCTCTTTGCGAGTGGGCGTTGGCATCAGACGCGCATTTCTCCAGCCTGGTCGACAAGCGGTCCTGCTCCCAGCTGTTGTCTCCGTCACCTGGCTTGACACATTCGCTCGCGGCTCGCGCAGAAAATAGACCAGACGCCGAAACGATCGCTGCAGGGTGCGAGCCGGTCACGGTCCGGTGCTTCTAGGCTATTCACAGCGCTTCCGCGGGCAGTGTGGCCACGGGTCAGAGAGGGGGGGCGAGTGAGAGGTCCGCGGTTGTTTATAACGTAATGTTATAGATTATTGTTTTATGTGTTTTAATGTGTAGGTATGTAAATGTTTTCAAAGACGTTTATGTGGAAATAAAAATACCTACAAGTAGTTATGTTTCCTTGTATTAATACATATACAAGTATGTTTCCTTGTATTAGTTTGCCCTCTTGTGGACATAATGCGGAAAAAAAAATATTCGAAGGGTTCGAACCTATGAGTTATTTTTAGAAGGAATATTCGAACATCATTTTTGAGCAATTTTGACAGCCCTAGTGGCGACTGGCATTTAGGGTGCATTACAGCCCCCCTCTACGGGCTTATTGGTGGTTTAATTATATCGAAGATGTATAGATTCATCAAACGTTTATAATACCTCTATCAAGGAAAATTACATTGAGGTAATTATCATTATTGTTTCATTGCCCAGCCCTAACTTTAGTCATCATTTCCATTAATTTAGTTCACTGTTATTGATATTCTTTAATTGTAATCTGTACTTTTCTTACACCACGCATAAATCTTAAAACCTAAATTGTTGTCTTAAAGACGTTTGTTACTAATTTTATTTTTTAACCAAAACAGTTTTAATGTGCTGTATAAGTACATTAGTAAACATTAGTAAATAATTGAACACTGTACATTATTTTAATATATGGTAATTCCTGATTTAATTTTTTTCTTCCAATTTGTTTTTTCTTACAAACTAAATCTTGAATGTAACCTTTTGAAACTTGCATGTTTTCCTGGATTTAGGCCTTGCCCTGCACATTAACCTACACAGGCTTTATATAAGTTTTAGCCATTTGTATCACTAAAGCCAGTTGGTGAGTACTCCAGCTGTACAGACTGTGAGAGTGGAGGTTTGACCTCATACACAGTCCAGTCCGTCTCAGGGTTATGCGTTGGAATTACAGAGCATCTTGACTTGCTAATCTTTCCCTGAGGCTGACAACACTTAAACATCCTGAGGCTGGTGTGTGAGCAGTCAGAAGCTTTCAAACTGTATTTGTAAATAGTTTTTAGGCCTTATCCACATGCAAACAGTTTCACCTCACTTGAACTGAGATTTTTGAAAAGGTGGGTTTCTGCGTATCCATGTGGACATACTCATTTATTCTTTGTGTTATGAGCACGTACCTAAAGGTTTAGGCACTCCGAACAGAAAAAGGCCAAAAAGTTGCACTTTAACACACTGCAAAGACTATAGCCAACGGCCAACTAGCATGTATGTTCTGCACCTGCATGAGAAGAAATAACTCCACACCAGCAGGAGACAGTAGTCTGTATTCATCATTCAAAAAGGGAAACAAGACGACCTCAGGACAGATGTAAGACAAGTTACCCAGTTAACAAATTATAAACACACAGAGGGAGATGTCGCACTTTCTATTCAAAAGCAATTCTTTGAAAGCTTTTCGTTAAATTACAAATAAAAATGTTTGCGCACAGTACATATGAAAATGTATGTGTACACCTGAAACAATTAGTCGATTGACCCAAAATTAACTGGCAATTATTCTGATAATCATTGAAGTCATTTTTCAAATAACCACGAACTGTTTCTTCTTTAGAGCTTAATGGCTAAAAATGACCTAGCATTACGTTTGTTTAGAGCTCACTCGTTCTTGACTTTAGCTGTGTTTGTTTTCCTCTCTTGTGCTTCTCATCTTGTGCACTAAGCCAAACTGCCAATCAGAGTGATTTCAATCACTGATGGGCTTTGACGCCAATTCAACATGCTGAATCTACATGGACCAAATAGAGCCAACAGTGCGGGATATAGGGCGACAGACACTTACCAACAGCCTGACATTGACCATCAGCCTACTGCCAACCTGTTGTGTCAGGGCCCTGAGACAACAACAACAGTAGTGTGCTACAAGCAAGTAGCAACTCCACCTCATTGCAAGAGGCCAGAAAGGTTTTAAAAGTCCAGTGTGTAGAATTTAGTGGCATCTATCACTGAAGTTGCGGAACTGAAACTTCTTTAGTGAAGCTTGTAGGAGAACTACGGTGGCCGACGCAAATGGCCCTGTCTAGAGCCAGTGTTTGGTTTGTCTGTTCTGGGCTACTGTAGAAACATGATGGACTCTGTGGACGAGTAGATATAAACCGCTCATTATAAGGTAACAAAAAGACAATTCTTATCTTCAGGTGATTATACGCAAAAAAAAAAAAAACTTTATTATATTATATTCCATTTCTACCAATATATCCCCCTAAATCCTACACACTGTACCTGTACATAAATAAAGGTGAATAAACAGGTGTCAACTAACTATAAATATAAAATTAATGAATAATGACTTTGGGTTTTAAGCAATGACTGTATAATAGGATGGACAACATGTCTCCACTCTCTCCCACTGTACAATAACGAAGCCAAAATATCCCAGATACAGCTGATGCCATCTTGTGTTGGAGACGTCATTTGGAGCCAGAGTCTGCACAGTGGCAATATCTGCCGGTATTGAGTTCCTGCCCATATACCCCTCCAACCAATCGTGAGCAGTGCCACTGATTGAAAGCACACACAGAACTGTCAGTCACGACATCAACCCCCCTTTATGTACCATCAAATAACCAACTAATAACAAACTTGGCATAAAAACAAACACATGAACACATCAGTGTGAAAAGAACTGCCTACAATGACGAAAAAATGAGGAAAGTTTGACATGCACTTCAATCTTTTAGTTTGGCTTATGTTCTGTCCGCTAACGTGGAGGGGGCAGGGTTTATGAGCTATACTGCAGCCAACAACCAGGGGGCGATAGAGATGTTTCGCTTGACTTTTGGGGAGCTGTTATTTCATCCATCTTTATTGTACAGCCAACGGTTTTAAGTGACTACCAACAAAGGAACATAAAATCACTACACATGCTCAGAATGTTCTTTTCTGGTATTTTAGGTATCGTTGATGTAGACTTTATCGCCACCTGCTGGCCTGGCACGGTCATTTGAGCGCTTGTTTTTGCATTCCGGTATGGACACAGATATTTTGTAAAATGTAGATGGAGGGGTGGGAACCATGGTTTTAAAAATATCTGTTATACGTGCAGATAAGGCGTCAAAGTCAATCATCAGTCAGATCTTCCAGGGTGTTTTGTTCTGTGAGAAGGTTCAAACAAAAGCTGAGAATTATTTCTAACAGCTGTTCAGTCCTGGTTTCTTTCATTTTCTTTGTGTCTGACTGGCGAGTATATTACAGACTATGACATACACCTGCCCCACATTAAAGCCTGCAGTCGCTTTAGTTGTATATATCAGTGTGTGTTTCTTCACCATTTCTAATTTCTGGAATGACTTGGGTGTCCTCTTCACAGCCCCAAGCTGCTCTATTCAATCTCTTCATCTTCATCCTCTCAGTTTTTTGTGTTTTCTTCTCACTGATCCCTTCATTTCTTTTGTACTTGTATCTTCCTCTTCTTGCCCTTTTTTTATCTCATCCTCTCGTCCTCTCTCCCTTCAAGCTCTTATCCTCCCCCCTCCCTCTCTGCATCTCCTCTCTGACCTTCTCTCTCCTTACTTCCTCCATCCTCTGCTCCTCCTCCTTCCCTCCCCTCCTCCTCACATCTTTCCTTAGCTGTGACCGTTCTCATTCTTTCACACCTTTATCGTTTACCTTCTCTCTCTCCTCCTACTGACAGGCTTTTCTTTCCTCTTTTGGACCTTTCTGTTTCCCTCATCCCTTCATCAGCTGTTCATCTGTTCTGCTTCTCACCTCTTTTTATTTACTTCACCTGGCTGTCTCAGTCATTTCCGTTCTCTGTCACATCTCTCCCATACTAGCATCTTTCTCATTTCATCCTCTTATTTTCCTCCATGATCAAATCACTAGAGAGATGGGGTGATCTGCCCAAGTTGAATCACACTGATTGCGCCTGAAATAAAAATTGCCAGAATTATTTTAACAAGGTTCGTTACAGTACACCACGTATACAGTATACAACCCGTTATTGTGTTATTCACCGCCTTTTTAATTGAAAGAATAATCTCTCTGTCTACATTTTTTTAGTATCAGATTTTTGTTGTCAGTTCTTTTGTCATTCCTGATCATTATGTTGATATAAAAACAAAATGATTCACCATGTCTGATAAGGCAACAGGGCAGTGTAGACTACCTAAAGGTACAGTGTGCAGGATTTAGGGGGATATATTGCCAGATATGGAATATAATATAATAAGTATGTTTTCTTTAGTGTATGATCACCTGAAAATAAGAATTGTTGTTTTTTCATTACCTTAGAATGAGCTATTTATATCTACATGGGGAGCAGGTCCTTGTCCATGGAGATCACAATGTTGCACTGCTATGTTCTTACAGTAACTGAGAACAGACAAACCAAACACTGGCTCTAGATGGGACTGATTGTGTTTTCACGTTGGCCACAGTAGTTAGCAGCTCCTCTGTAACGAGAGCATCAGAAAAACACTTATTTGTAAACTGAAACTGCTTTATTCAGTGTTTTTTATCAGTTTAAATCACCTGTTCTGTTTTTATGGAGAGGAAGAGAACGTCGTGTATAATTCGACTCCCGGTAAAACCCTTCTGAACAGTGAACACTGATGCAGTTAACGTTGATCATCCTGTTACAGTGCAATGTTCTGCTTGGAAACTTTTGGTCCTGGCATACCTATGGATGCCACTTGAAGCCCTGCACCTACCCAAACACTGTTTCAGACCAAGTGTACTCCACATGGATCCAATACTTCCTGATGGAGCTGCCCCCCCCTAGCAGGACAGTGCACTATGTTACACAGCATAAGCTGCTCAGCAGTAGCTCTAGAAATGTTACAAAGAGCTTAAGGCATCGACCTGGCCTTCTGATTGAGCACCTGTTGGATGTGCTGGTAGCCTAGAAGTACCCCAGATTCACAACAAGGCCTGCTTGGATCACACTTGGCTCTAACTTGTCAAGGCATGGACACAGGACCTCTGGGGGGTGTCCTGTGGAGTCTGGCACCGAAGCGTTGGCAGCGGATCCTTTACAGATACTCAACCACATTGTTATCTGGGGTATTTGGAGGCAAGGGCGATCAGTGCTGTTCACTTCACCAGCCAGTGGTTTTAATGTTGGCTGATTGGAGATATGTTGTATTCTTGACTCTCCATGTTGAAATTACAACCTCTCATATGCTGCCCTTCACTTGAACGCAGCATGTTTGTGCTCTGTTTCAACATTTTTATAACTGTGATGTTTGTCCTAAAAGGAAAACTGTCTGCAGCTCTCCTTATTCCTCTTTTAAATCAGTCAGATCTCCTCTCCTTCCCTCCCCCTCAGAGCCGTCCGTCACCCACTAGCTAGCAAACAAACAGCCGCTTGACCTCCTTCCCGAGTTCAGATGGACTCTGCATCAGTTTGACGCTGCAGGACAGCTGCTGTCATACAAGTGTTGACTCTGATGTTATATAAGACATCAACTCTCAGACTGCAGCAGCAGAAACAGGAGAAACATACTGTTTTTGTTTATACTAAATCCTCATTTAAATCTCTTGAATACTGTGACTTACCATTGACCAGTTTATATTTATGACACTAACAGTTACCTGTTGACATTTCTGACATTGTGTACATTTGGGTTTTGCACCTTTTTTATTGATGATCTTTTTCATTAATATTTTTTTTCTACTTTGTACTGGAACTGCTGCAAAACAATTTCCCTCCGAATGAATACATTTTTATCTAATTCTATCTTCAGTACAGTTATTATAGGACACCACTCTAGATGTAGAAAATGGTTATAACATAAATATAGTGCACAATTGTATTTTTATTTTTGTATCTAAATTGGATCTTAAATTTAGTTTTATGTTAATGCAATGATACTGTATATTTACCTGAGGTAAAGTCAACCCTGTGGACACACTTTATGCCCCGTTTGGATCATGACTTCTTGTTCCTACCTTTTAAAAAAACAGCCTATACGTTTCACTTGTTGTAAAGTATTTCACCTCAAATCCAACAACACATGTCTGCCATCTCTTATCTCATCTCTCTGTTCCTCTCCTCTCTGATTCACCCTAACTTTTTAGATCAAGATAACAAAACAACTGGATTTACACTAACTTCCTGTTTGTCCTCTAGATGACAGTAAGCGGCCTCCTAAAGCTCCGACATTTGGTGACTTCCTGTCCCAGGGCAGGACCCCGGGACAACGAGGGGACCGAGGTAGAGGGAAGGGCCGAGGACAGAAACAGAGCTACAGGTAAATCTGTCAGGTTATCCAAAGATTGTCAGTTTATGCTCAAACAAGTTTTTTGTAGTACTAATAAGGTTGTTTTTCTCTATCACTGTTAACATATTATTATTTTCAAGTTGAATGTATTGATGACAGTTTCCATTTGTTGTTCTTTCACTGTGTATCTCACTTTAGTGGAATGTAGCTAACTACATTTACTCAAGTCCTCTACTTAAGTACAGGTAGAGAAAGGCAGAAAAGATCCCAGGAGGTAGAGCGGATCGTTCACTAATTGTGGTTTGATCCCCGACTCCTCGTATCCTTGAGCAAGATACTGAACCCCAAACTGCTCCTGATGGCGGTTCCATCGGTGTTTGAGTGTTAAAAACTAAGCAGCAGGTGGCACCTTGTATGGTAGCCTGGGCCACAAGTTTATGAATGTGTGTGTGTGTGAATGGGTGAATGTGACTCGTTTGTGCGTGCTTTGAGCTGTTGGATGACTAGTAAGGTGCTATACAAGTGCAGGTCCATTTACACTTTCCCATCTTGAGTATGTCCATTGTTGTGCTACTTTCTACTTGTACTCCCCTCCATCTTATTGTACTTTTTACACCACTACATTTATCTGACAGTTTTACTTAGGTTGTAAATTCAGTTTATTAATACAGTACTTTTTTTTGTTATGTTTTATCTGCGCCAATTTTTTTTACTTCAACATTTGGTGTGTATATCAGGACTTCTCATAATTACAACAGCTTTCAGTGCTGTTTGTGAATATAAGTTAAACTAAATGTGACCGTGTAAGTTACTAAAAAAAAAAAATCCAGATTTTTTTTTTCTTCATGAAAATACTTACAAAAAGTAAAAAAGCAATAAAATTCCATATAAAGAGGTGTGTCCTGTGTAGTGATACATTTTGGTCCTACATTTTCCATAAAGATATTAATGTAAATAGAAGAAGCACTGAAATACCATACAAAGAGATGTGTCCTTTTGTTCCACTGTAGTGATATATGTTGATATTAAATTGAATGTCTGTCAAATATCCAACTTCAAACTAACCTCGCTGCGGTCCAGCGGCTGCAGCAGGCTCTATCTCAGGGGTTACACGGTGCTGCTGTTGCGCTGTGCTGCTCTGTCTCATCCATCCATATGCTGTCAGTATCCTTCTTTCCTGCTGCAAAGTCACCCATTATAAATATGTACTTTACTGTGTGAAAAAATGGACATGCAGCGTGCAAAGACTGGCATGAAAGCGAATGTTACAGTCAATGCATGAGTTGGCAGCTGTCCCAAGTTGCATGCACCGGTGCATGCAGAGCTGAGAATCACGTGCACGACTCAGATTTTACATGCACTACCATCTATTTACGTGTATGTGGTATTCTGACCCTTGATTATGATGTATCATTATAAAACTACCCAGAGGTATATGAAGTTTTTAAAATGAGCTTTTTACTTGTAACAGAGTATTTTTACACTGTGGTATTACTACTGTAACTCGGGTAAAAGATGTGAATACTTCTTCCACCGCTAGAATATGGCACCGTACATCAGGCAACACTGAGTATTGGCCAACAAACCAGTTCTGTGTTGTGTTTTCAGCCACTGAGGCACTGAAAAATTTGAATGTTTCCCATACTGGGTGATGGTTCTAAATGTTTTTTCTAACACTGCAGCTGAATGTTGTTGTTGTTGATGTAGGAACATTTTCTTCTATGATTTGTAATATTTTGTTAACTTCATAAAATGCCATATAGTATAAATATGTTTTGTTTTGTTTTTTTGGTAAGTGTTATTTGTGAGTTTGGTATTTGCTACTTCTAACATATCTTTGTGCCTTTTACAGCATGCATGACAACCGCTGGGAAGGAGAGAAAGAAGAGGAGGACAAGACAAAGAGAGAGGAGAAGACTAAAAAGAAGGAAGAAGAAGAAAAACCCAAACCTCCCACAGTTAAGGTAAAGGGGTTTCATCTGGAATAATAACTAAAGCTGAAGTCAAACCCAGGCAGGGAACTAAACTAGACCTTTTTGATACACATTTCCTTCAGATGAGAGGGAAATCCTAAAGAAGTGGAACTCTCAGCCAACACTGTGATAATCTCGAGCACATAGACTACATGTACACACATGTACTTGGTCAAAGAAACAGAGCAGTCAACCAACATTTCATGCCTAATGACAGATGATAGATGCAAGGTCTTGTATGTAACTGACAAACTGACTGTGATTGACTGCCATCATAGTATAGAAGGCTGAAAAATAGTTTCAGTCATACTTAGAGTAATGCTACTATCTGCAGTGTTCTTTTGGACCATTGGCTCCATGATACTAATTAACTTACTGTTTGCAAATCATAGTATTAGCTGATGTTACGAGCAACTGTGTGAAACTGCTTAGTCACAGCTAGCTGGCTAAAATTAGGTTAGGTTACAGTTAGTTTGTTGGCTGCTACTGCATCATTCTTGGCTAGTACAAAGTGCATTGTACCATTACATCATTGATTGTTGGCTAAATTAACACCAATTGCCATAATACATAAATTAGTATCATGTATCACATTAGCTGGGGAAATAATTTGGCAAGCGATCCAACTGACACATCCACTCAAGTAGTATTCTGCGAGTGATAAAGTTAGTGAACAAGCAAGCTAAGGTAGCCATCTAACTATCACTAAGCTGAGTTGCACTGATCTGGTGTTGGTTGCTTCATAACTTTATCTGATAAGTAAGTTGCAAACAGCAAACTAGCCAATTTATAGCCAGATCAGCCCTGGAGTCAAGATGAAATAAATAACTTTTACTGCGGACAGCGCCTCAGTGTTGCTGTTGTAGCAACTCGCATAAACCCCAGCCCTTGGGTTCACAGCGGGCTGGTGGCCAGCAGCAGCAACAGAAGTCTGCCAACCTAGTGGCTGTAAGGGCAGGGCGTTAAGTGAAGGTCTCTGCTGGGCCTTCACTGCAAAATGTATATAATGGAAACACAGCATGTGTGGACTCTGAGTTGTGGAGGATATGACTCCATTTCTTAGCTAACATTAGCCACTGTTGCACACTGGTAGCAATGTAGCAAGCTGAAGGGATGCAAGACATTCAGGGACTGTGTTGCCAAGTCTTTTCCTGTGAAACTAGCTAGCACTAGCTCCAAAAGTTGCTAGAAGTTGCCAGATGATGTCATATGCTCATTTGCATATTTGTGATGTAATAGCTCATTCAGTTGAGATAACAGGAGCAGCTTAGTTGAATTAGATCCAACAGAAAAACCCTTACCAAAACATATGAATGCAATGGGAGCTTTCTCGCATTTCCAATCCAGAGAGCGAGAGCCTCAGTTTAACTACAGAAACTCACTTCAACTGAACTCTCACAGTGCAGCGAGCGGCATCTCCTCTCCTCCTGCCTGTCCCACACCTACTGGCTGCCTGTGCAGTGCTGCTACATGTGTGGGAGTGAATTACAATGTAATCTATTTGAATATAGTTCTTGCTTTTTCCCTGATGATCTGAACAAGTCGTTAAATTTGTCGCTAGTTGCTTTTTAGAAATACAGTCATCAAGAAGGTCTTTTGATTTTCTGGGGAAAAAAATTGGGCCCGAGTTCTTTACATAGACATCAGCCCACATGCTGCTAGAGCCAACCGAGAAAGGCAGGAAAGGTCTCAGTTTTTAACTTACATTGCAACCTGTTCACCCATTGGCAATAAAAAAACAACTAATATAATATTTACACGGTCTGTTGTGACTAGGCAACCGTTTGGAAACAGGCTCAGCTTGTCAGCAGCTCATTTCACTACCCTGAAGTGGCCAGACAACTCTGCTGTTGCAGGTTGCAGATTGCAGACTCTTTCCACTTACTTTGATCCCCTCCTTCCATCTTTATTCAGGTGGAGGCGAAGAATGCAGATGATGAAGATGATGACGAAGAATGGGAGGATGCCAGTGACGGAGAAGATGTTGAAGGCAGCGACTCAGAAAAGGACTCAAGGGGCGATGAGAAGAAAGACACTGGGAAAGAGAAACCAGCCAAGAGCAAAGACAGCTCCCCTACATCTCCCACGCCTCGTTCACGACCGGTGTCAGCAGGAAGCCCCAGAGAGCAGCGGACTCCCAGACCGAGGGTCCACATTCCGCCGCCAGCAGCCGTTCAGGACCCATCGGAGGGAGGCAAGCCCCTCAGCCCCTTCTCCCCGCTGGAAAGCCACCAGCCTGTATCAGACTGGGGGGAGGAGATGGAGCTGCAGTCACCCCGGAGCAGCATGGGAGGTGAGAGCCCACCGAAACCCCCCAGTGTGGAGGCCAGCCCACCCCAGATGAAGGAGAAGGAGCTGGAGGAGGAGACGCAGAGTCAAGCTGCCAGCTCAAATGAAGCTGCTGAGCCACAGAAAGAGGAGGACACAGGTAGGTTAACCCTAACGTAGTGATCTTTCTTTGTTGTCTCCTTGGCTTTTCTTTCGTCTTATCTTGAAGCTTCTCTACTTTCTCTTTTACCTTCCTTTTACTCTTTCCATCCCTGCCACCTTACCCCCTCCCCTCTACTTTCTTCATCCTTTTCTCCCCCAATCTTCACCTCACCCCCCTCCCACCATCTCTGTCTTTCATGCTCAGCCATACACGTTTCCACTTCTTCAGAAAACACTGAAGCCCAGCAGACTGTGATAGTATCAGAACCAGAGTCCGTCCCAGCAGACTTCTCCACCGCACCGCCATCTGACCCTGCCGCACTTGAGAGTTCTGAGGTCGGTGAGGTTGCCATGACGATCGACCAGGATACACCTGCTGCTCCATCACTAGGTAACAAAAACCAAAAAGAAAACAAACAAAAAAAACTAAATACATGAATTGCAAAGGTTCATGGTGTACGATATAGGGGCATATATTGGCAGAAATGGAATATAATATAACAATTATGTTTGTTTTAGTGTTATTTTAGAATGAGCCATTTATATCTACTTAGGGAACAAGAACAGACAAACCGAACACTGGCTCTAGATATGCGTTTTCACATCAGCCACCTTCGTTAGCAGCCCCTTTGTTATGAAGCCGAAAAGCTTTGGAAAAACACTGAGTTTTAATGTGAAACTGCTTAACTTGGTTTTTTTTTTTTTACCAGTTTAAACACCTGATCTGTTTGCTTTAGAGACGAAGAGACCTCTGCCGATAATTCAGCTCCTGGTAAAAACCTCCAGAATGTCTGGATCTTAATTTATCAGAGAAAAAAGTTGAGCACACATAAGCAGGTAATGGGCTAGCAGCCCGTCTGATACAAACAGTGTCAGAGAAACACTAATTTGTTTCATGAAACTGCTTTATTTAGTTCTTTTACCAGTTTATATCGCCTTGTTATGGACCTCTGCAGATAATTCAGGTCCTGGTAAAAACCTCCTGAACAATGAACACAGAAGGAATACTAACTGAAAGTTCATGCATGGCACACGGGGGAAGTTTCAGCTGGTTACAATCTGCAGTCCTCACCACTCGATGACACTAAATCATACACATTGCTCCTTTCAGTGTTCTTAAATGGTAAAAAGGCAGATTGAAGAGATAATTTGTGTAGATCAGACCATGTAATGTAGACAGTTTTTTCTTTCTGACAGCAGACAAACTGGACACTGCTCCCTCTTCAGCCATCCCAGAGGCCAACCAGAGCTCCTCTGAATCAGCTAGAGAGGAAGGTGACGACACAGTACCCACTGTGGCCGACGCGGCTCCAACAGCAGAGACAGAGGAGCCCTCAGAGCAAACGTCTTCTGATCAGGCGTCTTCAGGTACGGTCCATTTCAGTGACTGTAGCATACTGTAAGAAACCCCCTGCTGCACACTGCTCAACGTGTGCTCATGCTTCACTTTAACTTTTTATTTTTGTGAATGTGTTTGATATCTTGTTTCCCTGGTTGTGGATCTCACTCAGCCTTGCCTTTTTTTCCTTCCATGTTGAAAAAATAATGGTGGGAGCTGTTTGCTGGCATGAAGAATCATCATATATATGTTAATATACTAACACACCGCGTTTAGCCTGTTTTTTGGACCTGACTGTCTTCCTGCCCCTCCTGTGATGGACTGAAAGTACTAACTCCACCTCCTGCCTTTGTTGTATTCACTCCCTGTGTGGTGTAAACTGCCCCACCCCCCCTCCTTGTGTTCTCATCTTCCACGTGATGTAAAACCTTTTGTTTCCATCCTGTTGTGGCTGTGATGAAAATGCTTACATCGCTGCATGGCGTGCTGCCTGCTTGACCAAATCTTGGCGTAACACCTCTCATTCTCGCTCCTTCAGTTTTCTTGGTGCTAATGCAAGTTTTTAATCAAATGAGAAATTTGTTACTGCTGAGGAGGAGTGATAAAAGAGCGATCAAAGTGAAATGTGGGCTTGTTTGCTGTATATTCATGGTGTTTTGGGAATCAGATGTCTCCAGCTGAACTGCCCCATCAAATAATCCAAATAATAATATTAATATATTATCAGTCAGAGCTAATGACTGTATATAAAGATGGACAACGCGTGGTACAAAAATGAAGCCAAAATATCCTGGATACAACCACTGCCATCTTGTGCTGGTGACATCATTTGCAGCCAGTCTGTGCAGTGGCACGATATCAGGTTCTCCGCCCATGCACCCATTCAACCAGTCGTGAGCAGCACCATTGATCCAAAGCACAACAATTGGCACACACAGCTATCAATCATGACATCAGACCCCCTTTATTTAGCATCAAATAACTGATTAAAACCAACCTTATCAGCAAAATGAGCACTTGAACAAATATCAGCGTGATAAGGGTTACCTAAAATGACAGAAGCTATCTTTGGGAAAAATGTATTTGACCCATGTCCCATCTGCTAGGGGGCAGGGTTTATGACCTGTACTGCAGCCAGCCACCAGGGGGCTGTCGAGATAGTTTAGCTTCACTTTTGGGGAACTGACATATGGTGCATCTTTATTATACAGCCAATGGTCAGAGCCACTTTGCTTTAAAAGTTTCACACTCATAAATGAAATGTATGTGACTGTATCCAGGTCCCGAGCAGCAGTCTCAAGAGATGAACCTGTTATGTTAGGTCTCAAAGAGTTAGCTGCTAATGTGTCAGCTGGCAAGAGTTACCGCTGAATGTCCCGAGCAAATCTGGACTTAAGATGGTGCACAGATTGAGAGGGTGATGCCTCAGCCAACACAGATGACAACATGTATCTAAGCTGAGCCAAATTAGAGCTCTATTCACAAGTCAGGGCCTGTATTTATTTATTTTTTATCAAACATCTGAGAGCAGGAAATCAGTTTAAAGAGGGATGCATTTTTAGTCTTTCTATAGAAATTGGAGTAAAAAACTTTCTATCCGTTTAATTGAGACATTGCCACTGTGAGGTTGGCAAGTTAAATTACCTGCTGTTTTATTTTATATAACTGCATTGATTTCTAAGAGAAGTATTTCACTGTTGGAAAGATGGTCTGTTTATAAAACATGGCTGTCTATGCAGTAGACAGATGCAAAAACTTTTGAAATGGGTGCAACATAACCAGGAAAAACAGAGGTAAAAGGGCTGTACCAGCAGTGTTCGAAGGGGCTGGCAGTTTCTTAGAAATCGTGTCAGCTAAAAACAACAAGCCTTACCGTCTGTTGCAGGACACATTTTTGCCTTCGTTGTGGCTCTAAAACTGACAGCCATTGAAAAGTTTGGTCTCATTTTGAACCTGAGCATCTGCACATTAGTTTCAGATCAGGTATGTTGTGATCCACTAAAGTTAGGCATGTAATGAGATGAGAGGAAGCCGGTTTTGTTCTGTCTGCCGCACGGCATCATAGCACAGTGGGAGCACTTCAGAAGCGCAGCGGTTTGCCGACCCAATTTTGTTGACTTGGTTATCCTTGATGTTTGTGCTTCCACCATAAGTAAATAAGAGTTCTGTAGTTAAATTGTTGAGGGTTTGTTTTTTTTTTTTTTTGGTCAGTCTTAATTGTGTTCATTGTTTTTATTTCCTACTTTGTTGTGCTGTAGCCTACAGACAAAGTTGATAACATTAAAAGTACAGTTATGAATGACAAGGTTCAAAGATATCTGGCTGTGTTTTACTTATTTAAAACACATTTATCTTAATAATTACATCTTACATTCTGAAACATGCTGCGGAGAATTGTCTAGAGTGGCCGTGTTCAGTCTGAACGCCTGCTTGGCTGCCAGGCGTAGATCTGCACTCTACTGACTTTTCTAGTTGCTGTTGAGGTCGATGAAGTAGATTAAGCACCTCATCATACCATGATTCATCAGTGTTTATCATTTTCAGCCACCAATGGGAATAAGAAGCACTCAGCCTGGTTAGAGTCATCTTTATTTGATCTATTTCTGCTTTTAAAAGTGATTTGAGTGAGTAAACCACAGTCTAGAGAAGGAAGTCAAGTCATTAGACGCTCTCCGTACAGCCACTTAGCTAGTGGTTGTGGTGTTATCACTTTGGCTAATGGCTTAGTTTTCGAAAAATAAATCAGTGTTCGATCAACTTGTTCCAACTGGAAGCTTGAATTTGTGTGAAACCCATTCCAACCTGTTTAGACTGACATAGTAAAAAAAACTCAGATATTAAAGGAAGAATTGAAAAACCACAAAAGGACCAAAGGACTCTTTTCCTACACTTTTAAAAATTGCTCCCAGTAATCCTTAAAACGGGAAATTAAATTAAGGTTCAGCCAAAAGGCTTCATTAAGGAGTGTTTTAGATGTTGACAAGCCAGCCCCTGATCAGTGAGGGAGTGACCACTCCCTTATAATTCCAGTTGTAATAAGGTCATAAGGACACTTGAAGAGTTTAAACAACCACAAAGGGAAGAAGTCCAGAAACACCTGTCGTACTCAAAGCAGAACAGAAGGTTGGTTTTTGGTCAGTTAGATGTGTCTGGGCCTTTTGTAGCAGTCCTTGTTGCAAGACTCTGTCAGCAGCCTTTACCTCTATAGCTTGTGTCTATTTGAGTATTTATGTTCATATTTGTCAACCTGTTGTTTACTTCGACTCTCTGACGAAGACTTTCTGAAGCTGAATACTTATGTAATTCTTAATTTCAGATGTTCAGCAGAATATGAAAATGTCAGATAAAAAATTGTGAGGAGAGATTTCTGTTGTCGTCTTTGTTCTTGGGTGTAAAAGCCACTCTGATTGCATTTACACTTCTTCTGATGACTCATGTGTGATAAACAGCAGAAGTCAGATGAGCTCATGTGGGCATTGTGTGTGTGTGTGTGTGTGTGTGTGTGTGTGTGTGTGTGTGTGTGTGTTGTAATTGTGTGACAATGTTATTGTGTGTATGTGTTGGTGTCAGGGTGGAGATCAGGAAACCAGGGAAATTAGAGGCACAATTAAGTTTTTAAAAGGCTTTTGAGAGGAAATGAGCTGCAGCCTGCTGGACAGATGATTGGGCAGACATAACGGAGACTGTTTGAAGTCTGATTGAATTAAATCCTGTGATGTTGGTGAGGCTCCACAGTGCAGTATCTGATACTCAAGCACCAGCAAACACAAAAGAAAATAAAATTAAAACTATTGCGGTTAGTTTGCAGTATACATGTCCAGGGAACGAAAAGATGAGAAAAAATAAGCACATTGGGAGTTAAAATGAAAAATCATCCTTTACTAAGTAGAATTTTCTGTATTCAGTTAGCTTTTTAAGGCCACAACAAATTAGTAGATTCATTGTCGACCTAGTTCATTTTGGGAAATACACTCACGAGAGTTAGATGAGAAGACTGATACCACTCTCGTGGCTGTACGGTAAATATGAAGCTACAGCTAGCAGCAGGCTAATTTCGCTTAGCACCCAGACTGGAAACTGGGAAACAACTAACCTGGCTCTGAAGCTCACTGATTAAAGAATATATAAAATTCTATCTATTTGTTTTATCTTTTTAAAAACGGAGGTGTTGAAATGACAAATCACGAGCCCTTTTTACACAGAGATGGTGCTAAAGAGCTCCTATGAAGTCCCCTCTTTAAACCACCTTTGCATATTTACACAGAACCAAACAGTGTTGGCATCATGTTGCTCCAGTGTGTGATTTCAGACAGCATGCCGGCATCGCAGAAGCAAAAGAGGCATGATGTGCATAATGGTTAACACAACAGTGTCGGCCTCCAGTGTGACATATAACATACGTGTCAGCAGCGTTTTATAAAGATTAACAATGGCATAACATGACAATAGCAATCATTTACTGTCTGTGTTATATGATGGCTGAGCTTGTCCTCTGCTCGGAGGGTAAGGAGCTCCTGGACCTTATTGTTTTCACGATTTTCAGACATTTTCGACCGCTGTTCTTTTTTGAGTTAGCTGCTAACTGCTGTTAGGTGGGTTGCACACAAGTGTCAGCGCAGGCAAGACAGCTTTGTTTTCCCATTCCACGACTGTTCCGTTTAAATTAATGGCAAGGCAGAATAACACCATGACATTTTCACCTTGAGCAGGAGTTGTAAAAGGGTCTACAGTTTTGTGGGGATTTGTGCTGTATTCTTTCTTGGTCCAGACCAGTGGCCTTATAAAGCTACTGGTCGTAATCAAGAAATAGTCTGGGACATAACACTCTGAGAAACAGCAGGTTTTTTTCTGTTTTTACTGGGATTGTAGCAATAAATGGAATGATGATGAAAAAATGTCTCGATACCGTTGTGGGACTGTTGATGATATCTGCAAATATATTACCTATTATTTCACTAGTATAGATACGTTCTACTATATCTTGAAAATTGGCAGGCCTCAACAACATTAACGCTTGCCTGCTGGGCAAGCTGTTTCCAGTCCTCATGCTAAGCTAAGTTAGCCAGCTTCTGGCTGTAGCTTCATGTTTAGCATACAGACCTGAGAGTGGTATTGATCTTTTCACTGGTTCATTTTCTCAAATGTCAAACATTTCCTTTGTGTCAAGAAACAATGAAAAATGTCCTTCACAAATTCACAGAGCCCAAAGATTTCAGGATTTGTGGTGACGTTAAACTGAGAAAAGCGGCAAAACTTCACATTTTAGAAACCAGAGGAAACCATTTATTTTACATTTTTTGCTTGATGTATAATTTAAACAGTTTATCTCTTGTAAGAGTTGCTGTCAGTGAATGTTAGGAGGACATTTTATGACTTCCTCGGACAGTGACAGTAGAGAGAAGATATGGAGAGGGAGAAAGAGATGGGAAACGGCAAATGTCTCCTGAGGATGTTGTAATAATTAATGAACACTTTTGATTTGACGGTTTGTATGGTAAGTATGCTCAACTGTTAAAGCTACAATATTTGCATATCGTTGTGATTTCAAAATAACTGAAGGAAGCACACACAGATGAACTATATTCTTGAATCCTTTTCATATTGTGTAGTCTGTGTAAATGCTGTATTATTGAGAGCGGCTTTGTGGAGGCACTTGTTGCTGGGCTCCTATCAGTCTCTTTCTTTCTATGAGCCATACAGTGTTCAGATTAGGCTTGTGCCGGTTTGAAAATTTTCCAACCGGTTTGATTTAAAGCCAAATATGTAACCGAACCGATATATCGAATTATATACCTAATTTTACCACTGGGGGTCGCATTTGAGCTATTTTTCCCAATAAAAGCCCATTATAGGTGTAATTTGCTTCCAATCCACTTGGTGGTGGTAATGCTGTATTAACTGCCAATACACACAAGGTTACACAAGAAGAAGAAGATGCAGAAGGACACCAAGGAACCTTCCTCCGACTCCGCTCTCTCAGTGAAGACACAGCGTTTGAGAGGGCCGAGCGAGAGGACGTTCCTGTAGTAGTTCCAGCCCCCCAAATAATACCAGGAACTTCTTCAGTGGAAACGGGTTACTAGGGCAACAAACTGAATGACTGCTGACTCCCTCGCACTTTTCCCCGCCCCAATTAAATTTGATCTCTTGCAGCAGCAGCAGCAGCAGAGCGGAGCTGCGGAGTCCCTCTGCAGCCTCTGAGACAAACTAAACAAAACACTTGTAGGCTCCTCCACTGCATTTATAAACAAACATAAACCTTATTAAGTTGTCATAATGCATGTTACAATGCAAGATAAGTCCCTTGCCACGACGCCGATGTGAAAAGCTTTGTTTTTTTGTTTGTTTTTCCCCCTCCTCCAGTGTATCAGGTTGACGTGAATTAAACCCGGTGGACCTCTTAAACCGGACCGAACCGGTTAAACCGGAAATCGGCACAAGCCTAGTTCAGATTCTGTAAAGTCATTGTGCTCCAAGTGCAGAAGCACATTGGTGGTGTTACCTTTGGGCGCTGAAATGTTTTTTCTGCAGTGTTTACATTTGATTTTTTCCTTTTGGGTGTCATCTTCACGAAAGCCAAAATGTGTCCAAAAGACTGACACAATAATTCTCTTTGGTACAAACTGCTCAAGTTGCTCAGTTGGCTCTGTGTTTGAGTTCCATTTTCCATGTTGCTTCAAGGTCGCGGACTGGGGGGCGGCGTCACGTGATCACATAGACCGTTGTATGTTTTTTCAAGGGGACAGTACATGAACACATGCAGTGGGAAAGTATTTACAGAAAAGCAAAATTACCAACATGGACAGTTTTGATTAATCTTTGCATAAATGCCCAGCCCTAGTTGTAATCATATTCTTTTTTTTATGTTTTAACTTCCACCTTAGAAAGCAGCGTGTTCTTCAACTTACACTTAAGTCTTCTCACTGTTACTGTATAGTGTAAGTGTCAACTGGCTGAGACTGTTTTCTTTGTTGCAGCACTGCATTCGTGTCCCAGAGAGTAAAATTAATGACAGGATAATGTTTAATGTATTATTGAGCATAGATTCAACAACAACATGTTGAATTTTAAGGATCAAAATGTTGGTTGTAAGTAAAAGATCAGGAAAGTGTTGGTATACATTTGGTACGTGAGCATGTTTCTCTGGCTGCTTGATTCAGTATTGATTATGAGGCGCTCGTCACTGTATGCGATTATTTTTCCCATTCGGCAGCAGAGGAGCTGAATGAGCAGAGTCACGTTAATAATGCTGCTACAGTCACAGTAAGGGACTCTCCCCCGGGGCTGCTCGCTCTGAACATGTTCACACTTTATGGTTACTGTGATTTGCTTTGGCTAAAAGCATTAAGCACAATAACACACACACGCACCACCACTTCATCTCTGTGTTTGTGTCAACAGGCTGAAGCTGCTGGGAACCAACACACACTTCTGAGGAGGATGGACAGATGAGATGGACAAAGAGCATCACACTACTCATCCCTGGAGTAACCGCCACACATTGAAATAGAAAAAAGAAGAAACCATCATGAGAAGGAGGAGGGACTGTGCATCGCCGCCATGAACCGGCCTCTCTCTTGCTGTTTGTTTTAAATCGGTGGGTCTGACCACCTCTGGGCCGCCGCCATGTTTGTCTCACTCTGTTAAGTATGAAGAGTCAAATCCCCGTCACTCACTGGTTTTCATAATGTTATGTTGTCTTGAAGTTTTCTGCGCTGGAAAAAAAAATGACCTGAGCGTGAGCTGACTTTGTACAAAAGTCCACATGTAGAGATTTTATCACAGAAGATCATTATAGAAAAAAAAATCCTTTTTACACCCAGAACTTCAGTAACGAGCAAAGTTTTTGCTCTTTTAGATTTTTGAGTTTATGAATTAAGCCCGTCGAGCCCTGAATGAACTGATCCATCAGTGAGTTATAAGAGGTGTTTAACAATAACTTATTTTACAGCACTAACTGTTGTGGGCTGATCCAGTTTATTTTATTTTTTTGCCTGTTGATAGCACCCCTGAGCCGAGCAGGGCTGTGCAACACCAAGCCCTAACTGATCTGATATCAGTTTATAAAAAGATCTCAGATGACCAGTTTGGAGGTTCACATCTTTTTTAAACATGCGGCTTGGCTGTCTCAGGATCAGAACAGATGTGGATCATGTGTTGGTTTCATCTGGAAAATAATCACTTCATCAATGATCACATTAGTTCAACCTCTCAACAATGCCAGCTTGTTGGCTAGTGCATGTGGCGACCTTCTGTCTCGTAAACACACAAATATGGACTAAATGAACACAGTGTACGGACAGAAGGCTCCACTGTCTCTTTATCTAACGTTGAGCATAAATGAGCCGTCACAACAGCAGTCACTTCTGGGTGGACTAAAGGCAATTAATTTGAATTGTACAGACATGAAATCAGCAAACTTGTTTTTTAAAGTTATATAGTTAAACATGGTGGTCCAACTTATCTAACATTTATATACTGAGTTGTTGCTTTGCTGGTGTCTCCTAGAAACCAAATCTGCCATTACCGAACAGCAGACATGCCCGAAACTGCCACACGTATGTTTTCGGTTCACGTCACGATGACAGGACTATCACAAGTCATGCACCAAGTAGGAATTAAGTAGGCGGAACCAATGTGTTTTCATGAACAGACAGTAAACAAGCAAACCAATGAAGAAAGGAGCGTACAGTTGATATATTATGTATGATATAAATGATTTGATGCTTATAAATGATAAAATATGCACACACACACACACGTGCACACAGCAGACAGAGACAGAGCTTTACATGTGATTTCAAAAGAGCAGATGAGCAGAATCGCTCACTGACTAGCGCAGAGAAATGTGCTTATGAACAGTTGACATAACAGGATGCCTCTGCGTCTAGTGTGAACATGGCATAAAAGTCTGAGCATTTCAGTCTTATCTTAGTGAAGAAAACCATTCTAAACATCTTATTGATTAATGCATTTACCTATCAATTTGTGTAACCAACCGCTCAACCAACACACTATTTGCCGACCAGTCTCATATTTCATCTCCTCTGACTTACATTTTAGTCTGTTTTTAATCAACAGCGTTGCACACTGATGTCATCACAGTTAGTGCTGAATGACGTTAGAGCCGTCTCATCTTAGCTGCGGAAGAAAGTATTGATAACTGACATATTTAGTCATAGTTTTCATTATCGAAATTAACACTGTCCTCAACACCTGTGAACAGACGTTAATAAAGCTCCAGTGTGTAGGATTTAGGGGGAAGTATGTCTTCTTCAGTGTATGGTTACCTGAAAGTAACAATCCTGCTTTTGTTACCTTAGAATGAGCCGTTTATATCTACATAAGGGAGCAGGTCCTCGTCTGTGGAGATCGCCATGTTGCACCACCATGTTTCTAGAGTAGCCCAGAATGGACAAACCGAACACCAGGCCATTTCACACAGATCGCGCTATAGAGCTGCTACGAAGTCCCTTCTTTATGTGACATTTGCATTTTTACACAGAACGGTGACATCATGCCGCTCTAGTGTGTGATTGTAGACAGCAAGCCAGCATCACGGAAGCAAAAGTGGCACGAGGCGTGACTTGTAACACAACAGCGTTGGCCTCTAGTGTGACTTTATAAACAATAACAATGGCATAACATGCCAATAACAATCATTTACTGTCCCTGTTATCTGGCAGATGACCTCGTCCTCTGTTCAGGGGTAAGGAGCTCCCAGACTTCATTATTTTCCCAATTTTCAGACATTTTCGGTCATTGCTCTTTTTTTTTTCTTTTTTTTTTTTTTGAGTACGCTGTTAACTGCTATCAGCTACTACTTAAATCTCCCACAGTGGGTCGCATGCATAACATGACGTCCAGACATCACACCCGTCCTGCCCATGATCCCATCCTGCTGCCTGTTGTGTTTAAACAGACATTTTTTTGGCGTTGTTACCACCTCTGTGTCCCATTCCGCAATCACACCTTTTACACAGGAATATGTGGAATAACTCTGTGAAGTACCCACTTTATAGAGGCAGTGTAAAAGGGGCTGCTGGCTCTAGAAAGGATCATGGGTGTTAGAAGCCTATCTGCGAGGAGCAGCGTCAGAATTTGTCGATTTGTTTTGGAGAGGAAGAGACCTCTGTGATAATTCGTCTCCCAGTAAAAACCTCCTGAACAATCAACACATAAGAAATTCTAATAAGGAGAAGTTTCAGCTGGTTGCAATCTGCAGTCCTCACTGCTAGATTCCACTTAATCCCCCTAAATCTTACACACTGAGCCTTAAATTAATATAAAGTAGCCAGTTTTTGCCTGTTGGCTGATTAGCTAGCTTACAAGCTCCAGTGTTAGAGACTCAAACAAGACTGTTAGTGTGAGCTGCATTTGGAAACAAAGCTACATGTTCAGACTTCATGTTAACCTCCACCCTCTAAACACTCACACTGTGAACTCTATCACTTTTATGCAAACATTGTCTGCACAGTCTTTTCCAGAGTTGCTCTCTTTGTTTTATTGCAACTTTAAAGCTTCTGCTGTGAGTGATTGTGGTGTCCAATTTATGCCTGTTCACCATCTCCATAATATCCATTAGTGTTCATCATGTAGAGATGGGTCTCCACCCCCCAGCCTGCTCTGCTCTTTGGGTTTATTTTGTGGTTTTTAATGACTTAGCTGGTATATGTACAGTACTTTTTTTTTTTTTCATCAGACCCACTGACTACACACCGAAGATCTCTCAGAATAGGAACCTTCAGCCCAACATGTTTACATGAGCTTCACTGCATGTAGATGATGATGTATTAAGTGTGATTTATTATATGCTTTTCATCAGAGCCGGCTGTGCAGACCTGCTGTTATGCAGTTATCAGACATTCAGTTCTTTGGCTGATGCTCTCCCCAGATAAACTTCTAGGATCAGGTGTGTTGCTTGAGGGCACTTTGAAAGAAAACACCATGTGACCTCCTCCTCCTCTAAAATCTATCAAAATACCAATGATGTACTCAGAGGCGGCGGTCCGTTTGCTGTTTTTAATTATGTCATTCTGTGTCACAATCAGACAACATTTGATATTTCCACTGATGCAGACTTTGCTGTCATTTTGTGAATTATCAGTTGGACAGAGAAATCTGTTCATATCCGTCTGGTAAGAGTTCCCCCCTCTCTCCTTAGAGGACACACTGCCTCTTTTAATTGTTTTTAAAAATCCAATATGGCTTCATGGTTTGAAAAAAACAACCTGTGTTATTGGCTTTACATTAAATATATATTTTTAAACAGCCATGTATCTTATTTGGAAATACAGACTTGTGTTGAATTACAGCGCAGTAATGTGAATGACTTCTTGAGTAAAGACCAGTTAACTCTGGAAATGAAAGTCTTCACTCATACCTCAGCAGATCAAGGGCTTTTAGTTTGCTTTGTTTTGTGCTTTGTTTTCTGCAAAGTCTTTAAATCATGCCTGTGGTCGCCTGTGGCGTTTGAGGACACTGGGATAAATGGGTTGCTTTAATCTTTTTGTGTTCTGTATCAGAGGAATAAAAATGATGCATTTGGATTGAAAGGAACTGCAATATGTACAGCTTTTAAATGGAAATGAACATTCCACAGTTGGGTGTTTGTGCAACATGTAGCCTGTGAGCGATGAAAACGTTTTGTTTTTTTTTTTGTTGTTTGTGTTTTTTGATTACGTGTAGATGTTTGTTTTTCTGAGCTTCGATGACTGATTGTAACTAAGGCAGGAGATGCTTCAATGTATATCCATTTCTACAATGTCTTCCTGTTTGATACATGAAATCGCTCTGAGAACTAACAAGGTTTGGTCTTTTTCAACACGTTCTCATCCCAACTCATCAAATACTGCCGCCCTGTCAGTGGACCTAAACATCTGAATATGGCGTGCTAGGTACCCTACTGCGTTTGTTTTGAATGTTCATAGAGGGCGTCTCAATTGACGTTTGTTACATGCATCAACTCTTTTTAAAATAAACTTCAGTTTTCATGGGAAGTGTACAGCTCGTCACAGGCATATAGTCTTCATCAGAATAAATTTACAGCGTAGGTAAAACATTTTGATTTTAGGTTAATTTCCTAAAGGCCCAGATACACCAAACCAACATCAAAGACCCAGCAGTGATGAAAGCTGACTGTTGGGTCACCTCACATCGCCTGTGTCTCATCAAAAGTTGCCAACCAGCACATAAGTTCTGCACCTGCATTAGAGGAGATAACTTACCTAGCAGGCGTCGGTAGCCTGTATTCAACACAATCCAATGTTAAATGAGCAGAGCATAATTACCGTGCACCAGTGAAATATAACACCGACCACAACGAAATGTTTGTGCTGAAGAGCTCAATGGCTAAAGAAAAATAATCTCACATTATGTAACAAGTTTTGTTTTGTTTTGGTCTCACTCCCTCCTGACTTTAGTTCTTTGTTTACTTTCCTCACTTCCCGTGCACTGAGCCGAACTGCCAAACAGTGCAATTTTATTCACCGTTGGGGTCTGCCATCTCAGACGTCGATTCAACATGCTGAATCAGCAAAAAAAAAAAGCGACGAAAAGATGACTGACGGCTTGGTATGTCAAAGCCTTTATGTTTAGGCAACCAGAACACTTGGTTAGTTTTAGAAAAAAAAACATGTCATGGTTTGGCCTAAAATAAGTGTGTGTCTTACTAACGTGATGGCACCTGATGTGACATATATTACCCGTGTAGTGTGCTACACATATTATCACACTACCTTGTCATCAAAATAACTCCACTGACTTCTGGTTTCACACAGGAAACAAACAGTGGACTCCCGGGTGAAAGTCCTTTGTTTGTTTGACCCACCTCTCCTCCCGGCTACCTCATATGGACTTTCTCTTTGTTCATATTGCGGTACTAACCGGCAGCGTCAGAAATAGCTGCCCCGGTACCATACCGCTGCAAAAGGTGCCTATGTGCGTCGATATCTGACGCAGAGATCACTGACACAATGGCAGTATTTGACAAGTTGGGAGAGAGAACAGTCTGTGTTTTTGGAGTGGAAGTGTGCAGCTGTTTTCATTAAGATTATCAGGACTAGCATGAATCCAAAATTGTAGCTTTTTAATGTTGTCAAAGCCATCAATGAAATACGTGTTCCCCATCAGCTCACAGGGAAAAACAGCCCTGATGTTTGTAAAGCACACTGTTGCTTTATCAGTTTTTTGTTTCTCTCATTTAGCCAATAAATGTTTTTCTCTGACATCTGGAGTCAGGTCTGATTCTTCTGCGGGTGTGAGAGCAGTGGTGGACTCAGGCCGTCTGAGGGGCAGCGCTGATAAATAGAACCAGGGCACCAGGTGCATGCAGCGGGGCACCAGCACGTAGAAAGTTTGCTAGCACGAAGGCCACTGCATCATGCTTCACCACTGGAAGGGCACTTACACTGCATTCTTTTAACACAGGGCACCAGCATGTGAGACATACAAGTAATATTCAGTGTCACGTTGAAGGCATTCATTTAAGCGATAGCGTGCAGTCATGTTGGATTAAAAAACGCCCGATGCAGATGATTGCATCCACTGAAATATGTGTGCTGATGAGCTCCCTGCTCTTCTATGCTTCCACCACAGAGATAAATTCACGTCCCACTCACCAGGCAGCGTGGCAGTATAAAACCATTCTGCCTCGTGCACATATTGAATACCCAGAGTGCCTTGTTGTTGTGTTCGAATCCTGTCTGTTGCATGATTTTGACCTTGCAGGCTGCTGCAGGACAGGAAGAAGAATGGCCCCATCGCTCTTCTTTCCATCCCCTGTTAACAGCACCCAATGCACAGCTTACATTTTATGGCTGCAGCCGGTGACTCATCTGTGTAGGGAAAGCTGTTTTTTTTAGTGGTTTCAGTGTCTGTTTATGAGCTCTCGTGACCCACTGCTGTGCAGATTTTGCAGGCTGGAGGAGAAAATCAGAGATGGTGATAATTTGTGGATGAAGACTGCATCTCTCCCATCTTCTGCTGCGGGACGTTTCTCTCAAACTATGACCCAATCGTTGGGTGTTGCGTACTTTCAGCCCCTCCTCGTCTGAAGCTGCGTCAAGTGAGAGACAAACAGGCGGAGCGGTGCCGGAAACGCGGCGAAATTACCTTCAAAATAAGAGTAGTCCCTCCATTTTTAATCACAAAATAAAGGTCCCTTCACTTTACTTTCATCCAGAGGTGGAAGAAGCTCTCAGATCCTGTACTTGATCAAAAGCAACAATACTACAGTGTAAAATTACTCTTAAGTGTTTTCTTCTCTCTCAAGTAAATGTACAAGAGAATTAGCATCAAAATAAAGACCCATAATTACAGTCTATCACATTATCGATGCATCAATATGTTCGTCACTCATTTTAAATACAATATGGGAATTCTCCCTGGGGATCAATAAAGTTTTATCTTAATCTATAATATCACTAATAAGAATGTAACCAAAGCTATCAACTGAACGTAGTGGAGTAAGAAGTACAATATTTGCTTCTGAGATACAATGTAGTAGAGGGTATAAAGTAGCGGTAATTTGGAATACTCGAGTAGTGTAAGTAATTCAATTTTGTATTAAAGTACAGATCATTAAATGTCATCAGTAGTGCCCTTTTCATGTCTGTTGACAGATTTGTTTACTCCCCAGGTTTAGTTGCTGATCTTAATTTTCAAAAAATTTGACACGTTGCAAAAACCTGTTCCTCTCAAACTTGTAGGCTACTGTCTGTCAGATTAGCATACTGGATATTATCACTGTAAGTCAATTGAGCTCCGATTGAGTCATTAATTCACTCATTAATCCTGAGAAACAAACCTGGCCATTCACATTTAAATGTTTACATGTTTACGTCTGTTTTGGATTTGATGTAGCATTATTTTGCACATTGTGCCCAGTTCTCACATTGGTCATATTTTGCTCTCATAAAGCAAATAATAATCCTGTAGTCTACTGGGTTTAGGCATAACTGAATTATTTCAAATCGGTTTAAGATTCCAGTATTGGGTTACAGGCAGGTGATAACTAAATATGACCACTAGGGTGAAGTCAGGTAATTTGGGACATCAGGTAACATGGTGCCATTAAAACATGACTTATGCTGTTGTGTGCCACCCAGTAATATTACAAACCTCTATAGTGATTTACAGCTGGCAGCAGTTAGCTCCACGAAGAATAAAAGTCCACAAATTAGTTAATGATTTAATAACCTAATAACTGAACTGATAAATGGATTTAATGGATTTAACCATTTTTTAAAAAAATCAAACATACATGACTGTCCCATGTTACTTGAACATATTATCTGAGGGGCAGCATTGTGGTGCACTGGTTAGCGCTGTCACCTCATAGTAAGAGGGTTCCAGGTATAAACCCACCAGCCATCTGTGGCCCTTCTGAGTGGGTTTTGCATGTTCTCCCTGTGTCAGCATTCCTCCGGGTACTCCATCTTCCTCCCACAGTCCAAAGACTCTAAAATTGTCCATAAATGTGAATGTGAGTGTGAATGGTTGTCTGTCTCTACGTGTCAGCCCTGTGATAGTCTGGTGACTTGTCCAGGATGTACCCCGCCTCTAGCCCAGTGTCAGCTGGGACAGGCTCCAGTCCCCTGCGACCCTTAACAGGATAAGCGGATACGGATAATGAATGAATGTCATCAGAGTGGGGTAGGGGTTCTTGATGTGTTTGAACCTCCCAAGTTTCTAAAGTATTTTACTTAGCAACATATTTTCTTAGTAGAAATTTAGCAGAGATACATAACAAGTTCCATAAGTGACACTTCAGGTAGTCCTCAGTGTTTTAGGTGGTTCTTGTGGTAATCTACCAAAAAGTATACCCTACTATTAAAATATCATTTATTATCATTTTTACATAAATAATTGATTTCTTTCTTTTGATTTCTTTTTTAATCTTTTTTACTTTTTTAATCAATAGTTAGGTCTCTGTCTTTGAGCAGCTGCAGCACCTGAACACCCCTCTCTACTTGATGGTCGTTACTGTTTTGTGATTTTGCAGTCACACCTTGTCTTATTTTGAAAAGTCCTACCGGAAACAGCCTCTGTGAACATGGTGAGCTTGACAGCGGTCCCATCCAGCTGATGCCAGAGACAGCCTCCTTGAGTTCAGTTTGCCCGGTGCGCACTGAGGACTCAGAGGGGTCAGAGAGGCTCATCGTCCTGCGGACACGGCAGCGGAGGAGGCTGCGGGACCCGAGCAGCTGCCCTGCGGTTTACAGCGCGTCCTAAACCCGGATCGGAGGAGAGGAGAGCCGTGGAGGGGAGAGGGGGGCATCTGGCTCTGCTGTCCGGACTCAAATGAACACACAACACTCCGCAGAGGAGAAATCGTCGGATAAGGTTTTAGCGGTAATACCAAGATGAGAGCGGCCGGCAGGCAAGTCACTGTGACCGCGGAGAAGCTGAACGGGGACATGAAGCGGAGGCCGAGCTATCCCGGCGAGCTGCGGGCCAAACACGCCAACATGTCAACTAAGATTTGGGTGAAAGTAGCGATGGCGATCGCCTATTTCCTCTGCGTGTCCGTGGCTGCGTTCATCCTGGTGATCTATTATGTGTTTTTCTGGACACCGGACACGCAGAACAGCACCAACGGCACCGAGGCACCGAACCGCACCGACTGCTTGTCAGGATGACTATACTGCACGCACGCACGCACGAACACATCTACACACATTACGTAGGTGACTGCACACACCTGACATGCGGCTGCAGCGGGGACGGATGGGAGCGCACAGAGAGACATGACTGCATCCAGAGTTTGGGATGCTGACTGAGGACCTGAGGGAGGACAGAGGGGGCACGCGCTGCCGGGATGCATCAGTGTTCCGCATGCAGGATGCAGGTGGGGAGGGGGTGCTTGTTGTTTTTGTTGCCAGCTTTACCCAAACACCTAGTCCTGAGGGGGTTTATATGTTTTAGCATGTTCTTGTCACCAGACCTGGAGGACATGTTTGCTTCCCCGGCCAGTAAGAGTCTTAAAACCTCCATAAAGGGTTTTTCTGTTCTTGATTCACTGTTGGGATGTTTCACTGTGTGAGGGATAAAATGGTGGTTCTTCTGAAAGTCATACATACATCCTGTAACTCATGGGCGGATTATGAGACAGTAGGCCCCTGGGCACAGAAATGTAAAAGGCCCCCCAGACTGAAAGAGACTCTTTAAATGCTGCTGTTGGTTCAAAAACTGCAGCTGAACTTTAGTGTTTAGTTCATGCTGGAGATGAAGAGACACTGTCTGACTCCTGACCTCTGCACAGATATTACACTGAACACCACAGCATGCCGTGCACAGTGCTGCAGGAAACTGTCATAGAAAGCTTTAGATGCAGGGGCCGCTTTCATAAAGCGGAGCTGCTCTCCTGTCAAACTGATTTACATGACTAATGTTGCTGTATGGGGATGAAAATTTCGAGCCAGCAGAGCTGCGACATGAATTGATTAGCCAATCGTCAAACCTTTAAACATTGTATTTGACTCTAAATCTTTTGATTTTGGACTGTTGGTTGGATAAAACAAGTCATTTTTAAGATGTAACCTTGGCTCTGGGAACTAATAAATAATAGTTGATGATTATTATAATAATTAGATGCAGCCCTAAGCCTCAGTATGGAGTGCAGCTGTAATATGAAGCCAAAACAAAATCTAAATACAAAAACAAATATATTTATTTTTAATTCTGCACATTCTTCATCTTTGTCAAACCCTGATGCCTACATTACCTACAATGCAACTTGACCGCTGACAGTTCAGCAAGGGATTTGGATGTGTTATACTAGTATAGTGGCTAATGTGGCCTGCAGCAGAGATGAGGAGCGGGCTACAGAGGTCTCATTTCTCTCTAACTACACATACAGATTTTTTCTTTCAAACCTCTAGTCTTCAGCTCCAACCATCACTGACTTGAGTAACATCACGTGGGGCAATTTTGTGCAGCTAACCTCTGGAGACACGAGTTTATACAACTTTTTTACATATGCAGCTGTACTCCCCATCACCTGTAAACACACCTTGATGTGTAAAATCATTGGAATTCTCCTTTAATATTAATTTATTTCAAACATACCCCTTTTCCACCAACATGGAACTGGTTCTGCTCCAGTTCCTGACACCTAATATTGAACCGTTTGGGGCATTGCAACAAAAATGAATTGGTTTGGAACCCGAAAAGTTGGTTTCCGGCTGAAACCAAAAAATAGCAAGTTTTCCTTGATCTGCAGTGC